CTCAATACCAAGTCCCAGAAGCACTTTAGTAGAACCACGAGCACTGTACACCGCACACTGCACTTATTTTATAATCCTATATTCCTCCCGCAATCTCAGCACTTTTAATCCTGTACCCACTACTCTGGCCGGCCCAGTTTTAATAATTGTTTCGATGTATTGTTACTGTTACTGTTTACTCTGCTTAACTGTTTTTAATTTGCTTTATGTATTGTATTGTTGTATTGTGTTCTGAGGCCTCGGCCTATGTAAGCCGCATCGAGTCCCTCAGGAGATGCTAGCGGGGTACAAATAAAGTAATAATAATAATAATAATAATAATAATAATAATAATAATTCTGAACAGTCTTCAAAGGCAACCCCATGTAGAGCGCATTGCAGTAATCTATTCGGGATGTAACAAGAGCGTGGACAAGATGAAAAGTCAGTCCTGGAGTTTGAGAAGATGCACATAGCCATTTGAAGCCATATTAATCTATCAGAACAGCCAGAGATTTCAGGTCAAGAGCAATATGTTTTGCAATCTTTCCACTTTCACACCTCAGATCAGAAAACTGAACTGCAAGGAATTCAAATAACAAAAGCTAAGCTGGACGCTCCTCCGTTTCTTGGATGAACTTTCTCCTTCAGGCGAGCAGTGCGAACAGTAAAACTTGCTTGTGAGACAACCCACGCTGAAATTAAAAAGCCATTAGAAACGGAAAGGTTGAACTTCCTCTGGGTGAAGCAAAGCCTTGGTTCAAACAAATGCTCAACGTGTTTTACAAGTTGAACCTAGGAATTTTAATCCACGAATAAGCCAGGCTGCGTTCCGTGGCGCTTCCTCCCACGAATGTATACAGAGAGAGGGCCGCTGTTTTTGAATCAATGTTGTCAAAACATTTGGACGTGAGGCAGTGTTTTGAAGCTGGCCTTTTCGTAGATGTCTCCCACCCACCCCCACCTTCTCAACTGAGGCTTTTTACTCAACTTATTTCCAAAATAAAACATTTTGGGCTTAGGGAACTCTTAACAAGCGGTGACAACTTGTGTAAATACATTTCATCTCTTGCTAAATTTAGGAATTTCTCACCGGACATTAAGTGCAATGTGGGGATTGCATCATTAGTCACAAAAGTTCCTGAAGAAGGAAACAATTCAACATTTCGAAGGGCTTAAAGGAAAGGACCGATGGGTCAAAAAGACTGTCTTCCATCATGAGTTCTGGTTAAAAATAAATTCATTCCAACAGCTTTTCTAGATCTTAAGGGCAATCTTTGCACAAGCTTAGTTGTTTTCCGGAGAAATAAAGCTCTTTACTGGAATTTCTTGCTTTGTGCCCTCCGCATAACTATTGCTACACCTCCCATCATGGCAAATCAAGATAGATCATTGCTGGTCTATCTGTGTAGGGGTGTCTGCGCCCTACACCACTGGAGAAATTACACTGTTTAGTATTGCACCAGCTGACATCCACCAGGAAGTAGCAGCCAATAGTGAAAGGACCAAGGCAGTGACACCTCCAGCTCATCCCTTGTTTGGGTATCAGCCAGCACGTCAATGACTTAAATCAAGAAATAGTTTTCTAAGATCTACAGAGACACTCGCTGGAACACCTCAGCAAGCAAGAGTCCAAAAGTGGCAGGCTCAAACCCAGAACCTCAATCAATGGCTGATACCAAATGAGAGACTCCCCCCTGGGCACACAGAAGACTGGGCGACTTGGAAGGCGCTGAACAGACTGCGCTCTGGCACCACGAGATGCAGAGCCAATCTTAAGAAATGGGGCCACAAAGTGGAATCCACGACATGCGAGTGTGGAGAAGAGCAAACCACTGACCACCTGCTGCAATGCAACCTGAGCCCTGCCACATGCACAATGGAGGACTTTCTTATAGTAACACCAGAGGCACTCCAAGTGGCCAGCTACTGGTCAAAGGACATTTAATCAACTACCAAGCTTGCAAATGTTGTGTTTTGTTTGTTTGTTTGTTAAAAAATGCAATACAACTGTTTAGTTTGTTCCTGACACGATAAATATAAAATAAATAAATTGTTGAAGTTGTCATTCAGTGAAATATTTAGATAACATAATTGATTGGGGGGGAGGGGGGACTGCAGCATTAGATCCTTCCTCTCTTGCCTGGGCTTGAAGCTGCTGCTGCCAGACACCCATTTGCAAGCCAAAGTGGGTTTATTTATTTACAGTATTTATATTCCGCCCTTCTCACCCCAAAGAGGACTCAGGGTGGATACACAGCAAACATTCAATGCCTTTAAACAGACAGGACAGACAACAGATAGAGGTATATGTTGCCATTTCCCCCAACTTCGGCATCCTGGAGGTTGTGCTCGATTCTGGCCACAGGGGGTGCTGTTGATTCATCCTCTACAACAAAGAGTCCTTGGTTACAGACTTCCTCCTTCCTTTGATCGCTGGCATTTTCTGGTATTTCTTTTATCATGCCGTAAAATACCTCTGTAGACTTGTCCACAGCTGCATGGTACACGGTAGACTCCTGCAGAAGTGAGAGGATCCCTCCTGTCCTCTCACTTCTGCAGGAGTCTACCGTATAACATAGGGACCACCAAACACAGCATTGCCCAAACACGAATCAAGGAACATGAAAGGCACGGCAGACTACTTCAACCAGAGAAGTCAGCCATAGCAGAGCACTTGAGGAACCAACCTGGACACAGCAGATTATTTGAGAACACGGAAATGCTGCACCACTCTCACAACCACCATGTCAGACTACACAGAGAAGCCATTGAAATACACAAGAAGCATGTGGACAATTTCAACAGAAAGGAGGAAACCATGAAAATGAACACAATCTGGCTCCCAGTATCAAAAAGCTCTAAAATTACAACAGCAAAACAACAGAGAGGAAACTATCAAAGGCATCTAATCACCTCTCAACAAAAGATTGCCCCAGGCACTGCCAGGCCACCAAATGCTCATCAAGGTGGTCAGTTGAAACATTCACACCTGGCTCCAGCAGACAAGAGTCCTTTGTCCCACCCTGGTCATTCCACAGATATATAAACCCCTTTTCCTAGTTCCAACAGACCTCACTACCTCTGAGTATGCTTGCCATAGATGCAGGTGAAACATCAGGAGAGAATGTCTCTAGACCATGGCCATATAGCCCGAAAAAATCTACAACAACCCACTGTTTATTTTTTGTTTATGAGATTTATTTTGATTGTTTTGTATTGATGTTTTGTTATTGCTTTTATTATTGTTGTTCTATGGGCTCGGCCTCATGTAAGCCGCACCAAGTCCCCTAGGGAGATGGTAGCATTGCATAAATAAAGATTATTATTATTATTATTATTATTATTATTATTATTATTATTTATTAATTACTGTATTGTTTTTAAGTGTTTTTTTGCACTACAAAAAAGATGTGTGCAGTGTGCATAGGAATTCATGTTTTTTTTTTCCAAACTATAATCCAGCCCTCTAACAGTTTGAGGAAATGTGACCTGGCCCTCTGTTTAAAAAGTTTGAGGAGCCCTGGTATAGAACATTAAGTTCATTTTTGTCCCAATTCCCAATGAAGATATACTGGACTGCATTGCAGAAATGCAAAATGCCGGGAAAAAGTTCAGAAGGTCCATCGTTTTTCATTCCCAGGCCCAAGAAAGCGAGGAGAGGACCAACCTTGGACAACAGCACTAATCAAGGTGGTCAGTTGAAACATTCACACCTAGCTCCAACAGACAAGAGTCCTTTGTCTCACCCTGGTCATTCCACAGATATATAAACCCTTTTCCCTAGTTCCAACAGACCTCACTGCCTCTGAGGATGCTTGCCATAGATGCAGGCAAAACGTCAGGAGAGAATGCCTCTAGACCTGTGGTTCTCAACCTTCCTCATGCCGTGACCCCTTAGTACAGTTCTTCATGTTGTGGCGACCCCCAACCATCACATGATTTTCGTTACTACTTCATAACTGTCATTTTGTTCCCCTCATGAATCGTCATGTAAATACCTGAGATGTAGGATGTATTTTAATTCATTGGACCAAATTTGACACAAATACCCAATATGCCCAAATTTGAATACTGGTGGGATCGGGGAAGGGGGACCTTGAGTTTGGGAGTTGTAGTTCACCTATATCCAGAGAGCATTGTGGACTCATGCCATGGTGGATCTGGACCAAACTTAGCATTAATACTCAATATCCCCAAATGTGAACACTGGTGGAGTCTGGGGAAAATAGATCTTTACATTTGGGAGTTGTAGTTGCTGGGATTTATAGTTCACCTACAATCAAAGAGCATTCTGAACTCCATCAACAATGGAATTGAACCAAACTTGCCACACAGAACTCCCATGACCAACAGAAAATACTGGAAGGGTTTGGTGGGCATTGACCTTGAGTTTGGGAGTTGTAGTTCACCTACCTCCAGAGAGCACTGTGGACTCAAACAATGATGGATCTGGACCAAAATTGACATGAAATGTGAACAGTGGTGGAGCTTGGGGAAAATATACCTTGACATTTGGGAGTAGTTGCTGTAATTTATAGTTCACCTACAATTAAAGAGCCTTCTGAACCCCACAAATGATAAAATTATGCCAAACTTCTCACACAGAACTACCATATCTAATTGAAAATACTGGAGGGATTTGGGATGAATTGACAGTGATTTAGGGATCCGGAGAGCACTGTGAACCCAAACAACTATGCCAAAGGGGTTCCAAAGACCATCAGAAATATGGGTTTTCTGATGGTCTTCAGTGACCCCTCTGAAACCCCTTCACGACCCCCCCCCCAGGGGTCCCGACCCCCAGGTTGAGAAACACTGCTCTAGACCATGGCCATATAATCCGAAAAAACCTACAACAACCCAACCTTGGACAACTGTTCACTCCCCACCTGAAAGAACTGCGGCAACAATGCTTTCATGTGTAGCATTTGGGCTTTCAGATCGCTGTGCTCCAGACACATCTACACGGAGGTTTCATTTAGTAATATTTGGAGTACATGCACACAAGAAGGCTTTACCTCTGTCTTCTCGGGGTCTGAGTCCGGCTTCACAGGCTCTGGTTCTGGCTCTGGGGAAGCCTCTTTCTCTTCAGGAGTGAGAGGGGACTCTGGCACGTCTGCAGGAAGAAAAACACAGGTAAGAATTCACCTTTTTGTATCTACAGACCCAGCTGAGTTTGGAGTAATGCAATAATGGCCTATTTGTCATTCTCCTTTTTCTCTATGCCACATGTGCTAAATGCAAACCCTGTGGCCTGGATCCAGCCCGCCCTGTCCTTTTATGTGGCCCTCCTCCAGATGCTGGAATGCAATTCAATACCATGACTAGAGCTGATGGGAGTTGGGATACACTAACATCTGGAAGGCTGCAGTTTGTTCTGTTCAGCCAGGATGATGGGGTTTAAATCTAGACACAAGGCTTGTGGATATGAGATCTGACTTTTACTCTTTCACTAACCTCAGAGACAGAAGTGCAGTTGGGTTGCAATTCCCATCATCCCCAATCCACATGGTGGATAATCAAAAGTGGTGGGAGTTGTTGTTCAAAAACATCTGGGGAGCCAAGTGTAAATAAAATGTACGAGGGTTGAATGAAAAGTAATGCCTCCACCTTCGTTATTTGGGTTTGGATGGGAATATTTTAATAAATCAAACGCAGAAATAATCCTTAAAATGTGCTCTTTAATGCCCATTATTCACTTTTCCACTTAACCACCAGACAATTGGATACATTTCTGCCAACGATAAACAAGTTTTCTGAAGCCATCACGGAAGATGTCGACATTCTGTTGCTGCAACCAGGGTCTCACAGTTCTCTCAACGTCTTCATCAGAAGCATAACAATGTCCCCGCAGATCTTCTTTAATTATCGGGAACAGAAGGAAGTCAGACAGTGCTAAATCTGGACTGTATGCAGGATGCCGTACGGTGGTGAGATCCAGTCTCTGAAGTTTCAAGTCTGTGCGCTTTCATCTCAGGCGTCAGCATCCTGGGTACCCATAGGGCACAGATCTTCCGAGAGCCAAACAAAGCTATAATGTGACCCACACGTTCTTGTGAAATGCTGATTATGCTTGAAATTTCTCTCTGAGTGATACGATTGTCCTGAATCAATCTGTCAAGCATTGGTGGGGACGAGAGAGAGGGCCTTTTCGGTGGTGGCCCCTCTGGAACTCACTTCCTAAGGACATCAGGCATGCCCCAACTTTGGCAGTCTTTAAGAGGTATGTTTGTGTTTGTCTGTATTGGAAGACGTGGCTGTTCCAGTGTGCCTTCCCAGAATAATGATCCCATAGCACTTTGTCCTCCAAAGCACTTAATATTGTTTTAGGTCTGCTCGTCTGTTCCCACAAACCGCTCCATCACTTTTTTTGCCCATGTCCAGCATTATTTTTTAATCTTTTAAATTTAATTACATGTGGCCTACCCATGGATTTTAAAGTGTGTTGTCTTATTGATAATACTTATGTTATTGTTTTATTGTTTTGTTGTTTTTAAATTGCTTGTATTGTTATTGTTATTGCTTGTATTGTTGTATTTTGGGCTCAGCCTCATGTAAGCCGCACCGAGTCCCTTGGGGAGATGGTAGTGGGGTATAAATAAAGTGTTATTATTATTATTATTTTGCTTGTGAAACTCAGTGATTGCTGTCACAGGATGTCCAACTCTTTGTTTGTCACGCAAGTCAGATGTTCCCACCTCAACGTCTTTGAATTTTCTCGCCCAATGATGCACAATACTCGCATGAACACAATCACCATCAACAGATGGCATTCTCTGATGATTCTCCTTTGAGGTCACACCTTCTGCTGTCAAGAATTTAATGACTGCATGTTGCTTAAGTCGCATTGAGCGACTATCTGCGCAGGGTTCCATACTTTGCAATTTAACAACACAACCGTTCAGTACTAAGGCTATCGGCCAAAATGGAACTATAGAGGAGAGTCTACTGAACAAGCCAGTATCTGCCGCATACCAGTACTGCCATCTGTTGAGGTGTTATGAAAATGGAGGCATTACTTTTCATTCAACCCTCGTAGTTGGCCCTGTGTATCCTTGGATTCTCCTATGTATTCAATTGTCCTTTGAAGGCCTCGATGTGGCCCTTGAGGAAAACGAGTTTGACACCCCTGATAGAACACATTGCATAAAATGGGACTTGAGAGTCCATGGATTTCGGTATCCACAGGGGATCCTGGGAACAAACCACACAGGTACCAAGAGGCACACACATACAGACAAACACAAACATACTGATGTTTGAATGCAGTATTCAATCTGTAATTGCATTACTCATTTACAAGCTGCCTTGAGTACCAATAGTGTGGGAGGGGTGGTATATAAATCAATACATTCTTTGTTTTCGTTATAGTTTCTTTCTCCTCTCTGCATTCCTCAGAAGCAGGACTGTCTCCAAATGCAGACTCAACGAGTTAGCAAACAGGGAAGCAGTAGGCCATGTCTTTGAAATGGTTGCTTAATACGAACAGCAGAAAAGGTTTGAAGGAACACCTGCTAAGCCTCCCTTGCTGTCTGCTTTTGGCTGAGGACTGCATTTGGTTCAGGTCAACGCTGCAAAGCGCATTTCAGATTTGGGAACTCAGCCCAGGTCATTAGATCAGTGCTGGGAATTACACTTAAGCAACACAAGCATCCAAGAGACCTTTTGCAAGTTAAGTAGGGCTCAAATCAAGTGTTGTCGCACCTCCAACGGCTAAAGTGCAGTTGCTGTGAATGCCATTGATCTGGATTTTGTCCATTATCTTTGGATTCCATTGAGTTGCGTTTCAGCAAAGTAATATCATAAGATCGATACGTTGGCTAGCAAACAAAACATGGATGAGATGGAAACAGACCCATGCTCGACAGTGATTCCAACAGTGGTTTAGCTGAGAAGGAGACGCCTCATCAAATTTGCAGGTGATACAAAACCAAAAGAGATATCTAACACACTGGAAAGATAGGAATCACAGATTCATAGAATCATAGAGTTGGAAGAGACCTCATGGGCCATCCAGTCCAACCCCCTACCAAGAAGCAGGAATATTGCATTCAAATCACCCCTGACAGATGGCCATCCAGCCTCTGTTTAAAAGCTTCCAAAGAAGGAGCCTCCACCACACTCTGGGGCAGAGAGTTCCACTGCTGAACGTCTCTCACAGTCAGGAAGTTCAGTGATGGAATCTCCTTTCTTGTAGTTTGAAGCCATTGTTTGCGTCCTAGTCTCCAGGGAAGAAAAGCTTGCTCCCTCCTCCCTGTGGCTTCCTCTCACATATTTATACATGGCTATCATATCTCCGCTCAGCCTTCTCTCTTCAGGCTAAACATGCCCAGCTCCTTAAGCCGCTCCTCATAGGGCTTGTTCTCCAGACCCTTGATCATTTTAGTCGCCCTCCTCTGGAACCATTCCAGCTTGTCAATATCTCTCTTGAATTGTGGTGCCCAGAATTGGACACAATATTCCAGGTGTGGTCTAACCAAAGCAGAATAGAGGGGTAGCATGACTTCCCTAGATCTAGACACTATGCTCCTATTGATGCAGGCCAAAATCCCATTGGATTTTTTTGCTGCCACATCACATTGTTGGCTCATGTTTAACTTGTTGTCCACGAGGACTCCAAGATCTTTTTCACACGTACTGCTCTCGAGCCAGGCATCCCCCATTCTGTATCTTTGCATTTCGTTTTTCCTGCCAAAGTGGAGTCTCTTGCATTTGTCACTGTTGAACTTCATTGTGTTAGTTTTGGCCCATCATCTCTCTAATCTGTCAAGATCGTTTTGAATCCTGCTCCTGTCCTCTGGAGTCTTGGCTCTCCCTCCCAATTTGGTGTCGTCTGCAAACTTGATGATCCTGCCTTCCAACCCTTCATCTAAGTCATTAATAAAGATCCTGAACAGGACCGGGCCCAGGATGGAACCCTGCTTGTGGCACTCTGCTCGTCACTTCTTTCCAGGATGAAGAGGAAGCCTTGGGGAGAATCACCCTCTGGGTTCGTCCATTTAACCAATTACTGATCCACCTCACCGTAGTTGAGGAACAGAATTCCAAATTCCATTGATAAAACTAGGAAACTGGGATGAAATAAATAAAGTGAAATCCAACAGAGACAAATGTAAAACTCCATATTTAGGCCACAAAATAAAATCAAACACAGAGGCATAGGACAGGGTGTACATGGCTCAGTAGTGCTACATGCAAAAGGACGGAGACTGTGCTAGTTGCCATCATAGATCAGCTGGATCAAGGCGGATCAGCGCTGCTTGTGTTATTGGACCTCACAGCAGCATTTGATACGGTCGACCACAATCTACTGACCCACCGCCTAGCCATGACTGGTGTTAGGGGGATATCCCTTAAGTGGGTGTCCTCCTTCCTCCAGAATCGGGGACAGCGTGTGGTGAGGGGAGGGATGGTTTCCGAGAGATCTCCACTAACTTGCGTGGTCCCGCAGGGAGCTATTCTCTCCCCACTGTTATTTAACATCTATATGCGACCGCTTGCCCGACTGGTGCGGCATTTTGGGCTTGAGTGCCACCAGGACGTTGACGACACTCAGCTCATTCTGAGGATGGAGGGCCGGCCGGACTCTGTACCCGAAAATTTCCATCAGTGCCTTGAGGCTGTGACTGGATGGTTGCGTGCCAGCAGGTTGAGGGTGAAACCAGCTAAGATGGAGATCCTTTGGCTGGGCCGCCCGGGTGGGAGGGAGATCCAGCTGCCTACCCTGGATGGCAAGACACTACGTCCATCACCTTCTGTAAAGAGTCTTGGTGTCTTATTGGACCCTCTGCTTACAATGGAGGCCCAGGTCTCTACTGTTTTTCCATCTGCGTCAGGCTAGGCTCCCTGGCTCCCTTCCTATCTAGGAACGACCTGGCTATGGTGATCCAGGCGACAGTCATCTCGAGGCTTGACTACTGTAACGTCCTCTACATTGGCCTTCCTTTGTCAGTGATCCAGAAACTGAAGCTGGTACAAAATGCGGCGGCTCGTCTTCTTGCCGGGGTGCCGGCGAGGTGTCGTATCACCTCAACTCTCCACTGGCTTCCGATTGAGTACCGGATTACTTTCAAGGTGCTGGTACTAACCTTTAAGGCCTTACATGGTCTGGGGCCGGTGTCCCTGAGGGTCCGCTTATCCTCCTACCAACCCCAGAGATTACTTCGGTCCAAAGACCAAAATTTGCTTGAAGTCCCCAACATCCGGACTTATCATCTGTCCTCTACTAGGCAGAGAGCCTTCTCGATCGTGGCCCCTTATTTATGGAAGGCCTTGCCAGTTGAAACCCGAACTATCCGAGACCTTTCTCTTCCAACAAGCTTTCGATGGGTGAATAACTCGGGACTATGTCTGTTCTTGTTTTTATTGTATTTTAAAGTTAATTGTATTGTTTTAATCTACTGCTGTAAACCGCTCTGAGCCAAATTGGGAGTAGCGGTATACAAGTCAAATAAATAAATAAATAAATAAATAAATAAATAAATAAATAAATAAGCTGCAAAACCTTTGTTTCTGTGGGAGGGACATCTTGCAGTACATTTTGCTATAGGTTTCTCAAGGAATATGTTGTAGAGTCTCAACACAGTTTGTGGAAGCCACAAAAATAAAGTTTCCAGAATAGAACAATTACCTTTGAAGTAGGTACTGCACAATTAAACAGGAAATAACGCTTTCAAACCAGGAACAGATAAAAAAATCTATTTTTGTTACGTAGTGTTATACGCTGCATAGTTTCCAAAGGACTCAGTTGAAAGAGGCAGGTTCCCTAAACTCCTCTGCTTCACAGGATGTAGACATCAGTGCTGAGCACCAGTTTCCTCCTGTTGTTATGTGTTGCAATGACAATATTAATTAGACTTTAATAGTGCCTCTATGTTCTTTCTCTTGACTGAATGTTCATTTTCCTTCTCAGCTCATCTCCAAAATTATGAGCAATTCTCCTGAGCAGCAGCATCACAGCTACTCTTTTTTGTTTTGTTTTGGATCTGGACCACAAGGATCCTTCTCACAGTCTCTGAAGCGAAGTATTCTGCAGGCACAGACTATGCGGTTTCGCTTCCAACATCTATTATCTGCTGTCTTGGCAGTTTTGCTTTCTTTCCCATCATTCAGACAATTTTATAAACATTCAGAATCCTACAGTCCCCAAAACAAAAACTTGGATGTTGGTTAAATGAAGAGCTTGTGGTAGATTGCCAGTTAGATGGCTTTATTTCCATCGGATGTTGGAAAAAACCTCAAGGAGACTCAGAATCCAACTCTGGCCAAGGAGCTCCAGGAGGGGAGGCTGGGCAAAGTTTTTGGGGCATTGAAGGGGGAAAAACATGACTGAAGCTCTCCAATTCCAAATAAAGCCAAGAACCTAGTTATTACATGAACGTTATTTTTTTCAACTTAAAAATTATACCTCAGCTTTCTGGTTGTGAGGGCTGTGGAGACATACAAAAGTATGTTGCCGATACCTGTAGAAAGCTCTAGTTTGCTGGCACAAAGAAAAGAGTGGGAGTGTGCTGTCGCACGCTGGGCCTGTGCATCAGACGGTAGACAGGACATAAATTCTGTGTGCCCAACGGGACGCCGGGGCTGCCTCAGATTAAAGGCCCTTGGATTTCCTTAAAACAGAGTCTTTAGATTGCTTAAAGTCAACAATGTTCTTTATTGATGAAAACAAACAGGTACTTTAAAGCTTTCTTAACAGTCTATTGGCTCTCTCAATCTTGTCCACAGGGAACAGGCACTATCTTCATAAACTGTAACTAATGGGGAAATCCTTAACTTCTAATCTGGGCAGTCTGTCTTTGCCTCTGTTGGCGTGGAGCCCCTGCACCCGGTACCAACTGCTTCTGGCTTCCGCGAGTGACCCTTACCAAGCAGAGCTTTGTAGACTTCCAAGGGAAAAGGAGTTCAGGTTTCGGTGATGGCTGGCTGAAGTCCCTCCACAAAGGAGCTGTAAGGCTGTATGATCCTCGGCCAAGCTGTGGGCTGTATAACCCCAGCCAAGCTGTAGAAGACGAAGCTTTCTACAGGAGCTCTTGGTATTATGTCCTGCATGGAAAGCTTCTCTGTGTGGACTGAACCCAAACTGGCTCCTATTCCCTCCAAAACCCAAAGGGGGCGGGACCAGGGAACCTAACTATAATTGACAGTGGCTTGCCCTATGATTGCAGCCAAAAGAAGCCACCTATCTGCAGAGTCCTTGAAACTTAGGACTACAACAAACATTCAATGCAAAGCAAACAAAATTGGAACTCCTTGTACAGTTGTACCTCCACAGGGAGCTTCTTGACTACTTGGGTCTCTTGCTCAAGGCTCACCATCGTAGAATCCTAGAGTTGGAAGAGACCTCATGGGCCATCCAGTCCAACCCCATTCTGCCAAGAAGCAGGAAAATCACATTTAAAGCACCCCTGACGGATGGCCATCCAGAGTCTGCTTAAAAGCTTCCAAAGAAGGAGCCTCCACCACACTCCAGGGCAGAGAGTTCCACTGCTGAACAGCTCTCTTTCACAGTCAGGAAGTTCTTCCTCATGTTCAGGTGGAATCTGAACATGACTAAGTTCCATAGTTGAGGAGCCACCACTGAGAAGACCCTGTCTCTCATTCTCACAAATTGCACCTGCGAAGGAGGTGGGACTGAGAGCAGGGCCTCCCTGGACAATCTTAACTGAGGTGGTTCATAGAGGGAGATACGTTTGGACAGGTACCCCATGAACATTTCTCCCACTGAAGCCATGAACCCTAAAGCTTTCCATGTTCAATTTTTTAATTAACCAAGCCAAGGCCTTTATAGTGAAGGCACCCCCACCAAAGGACAACTTGGGGAGATTTAGCAGAATAGAACAGCTTAATAAAGACTATCCTGTATGTTTGGGAATTCCGTTTAATTTTCCTTGATAGCACTCAGATGTTATTGATATTGTTCTATTGCTGTGAATATAATGGGCAATTAACACCAAAGAACGAGAAGCAATGAAAGTCAACGTGTATATTGTTGTTGCCATCATTACATTCCCAAGAAGCCTAAGGTCTGCCAGGTACTGACTTTTAAGGTAACCAGAGCATCGGCCAACCAACTGGCTTGCACTTACCTTCTTCATCACTGCTGTCCGACTGAGGCTGCCTGATTCGACGCCTCTTTTTCTTCAAATTTCCACCTTTTTTCTCTTCATCATCCGATATCTCTGCCCGTTTTGCTCTGTAAACACACCAGGTGATGTCACTTAAATATGCTTTGGGGATGTGGGAGGAGAAGTCCAAAATACCTGGAGGGCCCAAATTTGCCCATGCCTGGTCTCGAGAAGTTCTTTCTCTGGAGGTCCCCTCCTCATTTGTTTATTTCCCTGTGAAAGTGTTTCTCAACCTTCCTAATGCCATGACCCCTTAATGCAATTCCTCATGTTGTGGTGACCCCCAACCATAACATTATTTTCATTGCTACTTCATTACTGTCATTTTGCTACTGTTATGAATCGTCATGTAAATATCTGATATGCAGGATGTATTTTCAGTCACTGGTCCAAATCTGGCACAAATACCTGATACACCCAAATTTGAATACTGGTGGGGTTAGGGGTGATTGATTTTGTCATTTGGGAGTTGTAGTTGCTGGGATTTATAGTTAATCTTCAATCAAAGAGCATTCTGAACTCCACCAATGATGGAATTGAACCAAACATGGCATACAGGACTTCCATGACCAACAGAACACACTGGAAGGGTTTGGTGGGCATTGACCTTGAGTTTGGGAGTTGTAGTTCACCTATGTCCAGGGAGCACTGTGGACTCAAACAATGATGGATCTGGACCAAACTTGACACAAAAATTCAAGGGTGATTGATTTTGTCATTTGGTAATGCTAGAGTGGCTGGGATTTATAGTTCACCTACAATCAAAGAGCCTTCTGAACTCCACCAATGATTTAACTGAATCAAACTTGGCACACAGAATTCCCATGACCAAGAGAAAATACTGGGAAGGTCTGATGGACATTAACCTTGAGCTTTTGGAGTTGTAGTTCACCTACATCCAGAGAACACTGTGGACTCGAGCAATGATGGATCTGAATCAGACTTGGCACAAATACTCAATATGCCCAAATATGAACACTGGCAGAGTTTGGAGAAAATAGACCTTGCCATTTGGGATTTGTAGTTGTTGGGATTTATAGTTCACCCACAATGAAATAGCATTCTGAACCCCACCGATAGAATTGGACCAAACTTTCCACACAGAATCCCCATGACCAAAATAAAACACTATGTTTTCTGATGGTCTTTGATGACCCCTCTGACACCCCCTCGTGATCCCCACGGGGTCCTGACCCCCAGGTTGAGAAACACTGCTCTATGAGTTCTCTTTTACAAATAGTTCTGCCCCTTTATCTCACCCTGAGTTTTTAAATCATTTTATGTACATGCGGCCCGCTCATTGTCTTTATGTTTGGTTTACTGGGTTTTTTTAATGTTTTGTATTTATTGTTTATATGCTTATTATATGTTTTATACTTTAATGTTATGTTGTTTATTTTATTGAAATCTGTATCTCATATTATTGTAATTTACTGCTCCAACTTCCGTACAGTGGCCCTTATTTCTCATCATGCCAGTAAGGTAATGCTCAAGATCCTGCAAGGAAGACTCCAGCAATACATGGAGCGAGAGTTGCCAGATGTTCAAGCTGGGTTTAGAAAAGGCAGAGGAACCAGAGACCAGATTGCCAATATCCGCTGGATAATGGAGAAAGGCAGGGAGTTTCAGAAAAACATCTTTCTGCTTCATTGACTATTCTAAAGCCTTTGACTGTGTGGATCATAATAAATTGTGGCAAGTTCTTGGTGGGATGGGCATCCCAAGCCACCTTGTCTCTCTCCTGAGGAATCTGTACAAGGACCAAGTAGCAACAGTAAGAACTGACCACGGAACAAGACTGGTTCAAGATTGGGAAAGGCGTACGGCAAGGCTGCATCCTCTCACCCAACCTTTTTAACTTGTATGCAGAACACATCATGCGATGTGCGGGGCTTGATGAATGCAAAGCTGGGGTGAAAATGGCTGGAAGAAACATTAACAACCTCAGATATGCAGATGACACCACTCTGATGGCCGAAAGCGAGGAGAAGCTGAGGAGCCTTCTAATCAAGGTGAAAGAAGAAAGCGCAAAAGCCGGGTTGCAGCTAAACATCAAAAAAACCAAGATTATGGCAACAAGAATGATTGACAACTGGAAAATAGAGGGAGAAAATGTGGAGGCCGTGACAGACTTTGTATTTCTAGGTGCAAAGATTACTGCAGATGCAGACTGTGGCCAGGAAATCAGAAGACGCTTACTGCTTGGGAGGAGAGCAATGTCCAATCTCGATAAAATAGTAAAGAGTAGAGACATCACACTGGCAACAAAGGCTGTCGAGGTCCTGAACCGGTGCTTGGCCGCTGTGACGGTCTGGATGGGGGCGAACAAATTGAAATTGAATCCAGACAAGACAGAGGTACTCCTGGTCAGTCGTAAGGCCGAACAGGTTATAGGGTTACAGCCTGTGTTGGAGGGGTCGCACTCCCCCTGAAGACACAGGTTCGCAGTTTGGGTGTGATCCTGGATTCTTCGCTGAGCCTGGAACCCCAGGTTTCAGCGGTCCAGGGGAGCATTTGCACAGCTTAGGCTTGTGCGCCAGCTGCGCCCGTATCTTAGGAAGTCTGACTTGGCCACGGTAGTCCACGCTCTTGTCACATCCCGTATAGACTACTGCAACGCGCTCTACGTGGGGTTGCCCTTGAAGACTGCCCGGAAGCTTCAGATGGTCCAGCGCTCGACAGCCAGGTTGCTAACGGGAGCGGCTCTCAGGGAGCACACCACCCCCCTGCTGAACCAGCTCCACGGTATATAAATATAGTAAACAATTCAAGGTGCTGGCTTTAGCCTATAAAGCCCTACACGGTTCCGGCCCCACTTACCTCTCCGAACGCATCTCCACCTATGAACCGGCAAGGACGTTAAGATCGTCCGGGGAGGCCCTGCTCTCGGTCCCGCCAGCGTCACAAGTGCGGCTGGCGGGGACGAGAGACAGGGCCTTCTCGGTGGTGGCCCCTCGGCTATGGAATGCCCTACCAACGGAGATCAGACAGGCCCCGTCGCTTTTGGCGTTCAGGAGGCGGGTGAAGACGTGGCTCTTCGAACAGGCATTCGGATAAGCATGCAATAACATCTGACTCAGAAAGACGGCATACTGAACAAGGAATGGTAAACCGACTGCGAGAGTGGATCTGATTCTAATTGAGGCATGATGACGTTATGTGTATTGTCTGTGAATGTCTGTCACTTGCATTGTTTAATGTTGCACTTTTACTGTAAACCGCTTAGAGTCGCTTTGGCTGATATAGGCGGTATACAAAAGAAGTAAATAAATAAATAAATAATAAATGTGAAAGCTGGACCTTAGGGAAGGCTGAGCGAAGGAAGATCGATGCTTTTGAGCTGTGGTGTTGGAGGAAAGTGCTGAGAGTGCCTTGGACTGCGAGAAGATCCAAGCAGTCCATCCTCCAGGAAATAAAGCCCGACTGCTCATTGGAGGGAAGTTATAGAGCAAAGTTGAAATCCTTTGGCCACATCATGAGGAAGCAAAGCCTAGAGAAGACAATTATGCTGGGGAAAGTGGAAGTAAAAGGAAGAGGGGCCGACCAAGGGCAAGATGGATGGATGGCATCCTTGAAGTGACTGGACTGACCTTGAAGGAGCTGGGGGTGGTGACGGCCGACAGGGAGCTCTGGCGTGGGCTGGTCCATGAGGTCACGAAGAGTCAGAGACGACTGAACGAATGAACAACAACAACATTATTGTAATTTGTTGTTTGGGCTTCGCTTCATGTAAGCCACTCCGAGTCCCCGTTGGGAAGATGGTGGCGGCGTATAAATAAGGATTATTATTATTATTATTATTATTATTATTTGCAGCCCCTGTGAATTAACCCTCACTTGCCTCCCTCACTCACTTAGCTCCAGAATCCCAAAGAAGACAGTTTTTTGACCCATGAGCAGAGCTGAGAGGGGTATCTGCCTCTGTGACAGAATGCCTGGCATCTCCCCATCCATGCTGAAAGGAGCCATTTATGACTCCCCCTTTTCCACTAGTAAAATATGATTATGTATATATTTTTAAGAAAAGATTAAAAGCTGCTTTGGAAAATCATGTATATATTTTTTTAAAAGTTTAAAAGCTGTTTCAGAAATTTGAGACACTACCTCATAGCGGGACAGCAGCAGCAAAAAAGCACTAAGTGTTTGGGATGTGTGTCCTTATAAATACTTTGGGGACACTGAGAAAGAGAAGAGTTGTGCATAAGTCATAGAATCATCAAGTTGGAAGATACTCTCAAACGCCATCCAGTCCGACCCCCTTCTGCCAGACAAGAGGACACCACTCAAACCCTCACGACAGATGGCCATTCAGTCTCTGCTTAAAAACCTCCAGAGAAGGACTCCAGAGCAGAAGCATATCCCACTGTGGAATGACCCTAATCATCAGGAAGTTCTGTCGCAGAATGGGTGTGTGAAATGATTTTTAGTTTCCAAATGGCACGACGAGATGCAGAGCCAACCTTAAGAAATGGGGCTACAAAGTGGAGCCCGCGACATGCGAGTGCTGTGAAGAGCAAACCACAGACCACCTATTACAATGCAGCCGGAGCCCTGTCACATGCACCACAGAGGACCTTCTTATAACAACATGAGAAGCACTCCAAGTGGCCAGCTACTGGTCAAAGGACATTTAATAGAATGCCAAGTTTGCAAACTTTGTGGGGTTTTTTAATACAATACAACTGTTTGGTTTGGGTTGTTATACGTTTTTTGAGCTATATGGCCATGTTCTAGAAGCATTGTCTCCTAACGTTTTGCCTGCATCTATGGCAAGCATGAGGGAGCCTTGAGGGAGCTGGGGGTGGTAACGGTCGACAGGGAGCTCTGGCGTGGGCTGGTCCATGAGGTCACGAAGACTCGGAGACGACTGAACGAATGAGCAACAACATGGCAAGCATCCTCTGAGGTTGTGAGTTCTGAGGTGTTGGGAGTTCAGCCTGTGATTGTGTTTCAGGATCAGGGTGCTTTGGATGTGGAAAGTGATGCCAATGAATTTCAAGGTGGCAATGGTTTGGTCAATGATGCTATGCAGAGAAGGACCAGGAGCCCCCTGTGCAAAATGCAGTTTCCCATGAGAATGTCCCTGAGGGGTGTGGGGATGATGGTGTACTTCATGAATTGTTACCAGAGAGTTCTCAGGATTTGGGGCTTGAAAACAACTGGGCACCTGGTCTGGCTGCAAAACTTAATGAGCAAATAGATAGGAGGCAGGAGATTAGTCAAAACATACAAACTGAACAGTGGCTTCGGTGGTCTGCCAGAATCCGACAGAAAAAATAAGGTAATCTCAATTAAAGCGAAACCAATTTCTGAGTGCTTGGGATAGCTTAACAAGGGGATAAAAGTTCCAAGTATGGGAAATATAGTCAGATGAAGCGTCGTTTGGAATCAAGTGAAGTTCTGGTCCTTGTTTCATGGAAGCCTTGCTGGGAAGATTCTTGTATTTCTTATTTCATGGTTTGGACTCTTGGATTGGGTGAATGCCTACTCATGCCTTGTATTAATGTTTCCTGGTTTTCTGAATTCTATTAGAAAAGTGTGGACTTTGTTTTTATGGACTTTGCTGAACTTTTCCCCTGGACTATTTTTCCTCCTGCTTATTTCTTATATATAAATATGTGAGAGGAAGCCACAGGGAGGAGGGACCAAGCTTGTTTTCTGCTTCCTTGGAGACTAGGACACAATGGAACAATGGCTTCAAACTACAAGAAAGGAGATTCCACTTGAACATGAGGAAGAACTTCCTGACTGTGAGAACCGTTCAGCAGTGGAACTCTCTGCCCCGGAGTGTGGTGGAGGCTCCTTCTTTGGAAGCTTTTAAACAGAGGCTGGGTGGCCATCTGTCAAGGGTGATTTGAATGCAATATTCCTGCTTCTTGGCAGGTGGTTGGACTGGATGGCCCATGAGGTCTCTTCCAACTCTTTGATTCTATGATTCTTACCTAATTGGATGTACCTATTTCTTTAAAGTAATTTTTACTTGCTTCTTTTAACTCTCTTCAGTAAAAGGATTGTTTTCCAATCAACGGTGTGGTGTTTACAGCCAGAGGGCTTTTCCTGTCCTGGAGTGCAACATGAGGTCTGTTTGGTTTGCTCCCGATAAGATAAATAAATAAATAACCTCCATGAAGTGCTGCAAGCTGGATAGCAAGTGTCCCTGAAGCAAGCAAATACAGAGGGTCATGCTTCAGCCTGCCTATCAGCAGAGTCAACTGTCAGTATCTGACCTTACCTATGTAAGGTAAACATACTGTAAACACCTTATCACATACAGTAAGACACCTTATAGTAAACATACTGTAAACCCCTTATAACATACAGTAAGATTGCTGATTATCACAATGAAAGCAGCTGCCCAAAATGAACAGAAGGGCCTGGGTACCTTCTCTTGTCTTTCATCTGCCCTTTCGCAGGCTCTGATTTCTTTTTGGCTTTCTCAAGAGCTGGAGCACCGGGAGGTGATTTGGCTTCCGCTGAAGACGCCGAAGACTTGGCTGCTGGTTTCTCCTCCTTTTGCTGCTCTGCTTCAGCGCTGCCTTTGCCTACGTATCACAAATACATTGAGAGAAGGCTGAAACAAAAGAGATCAGGAGGAACCATCCATGTACATCACCTTCACTGTCCTTCTTTCATAGGGATCTGAAAACCTGGATGTTCCAACAAGCGTTTGAGAATAATTAGTCCCTACTTATAACTCCCCATTCCCTAGCTCGCCAGATAGTACTCTGTTCTCTGCACTTCTTCCAATCCCCCGTCCCTATACTACACTATTTTGCGCTACCCCAGGTCCGGTCCTATTGATACCCTGATCATGCCCATCTTAATGTTCTGGTTATTTGTATTGTCGAAGGCTTTCATGGCCGGAATCACTGGGTTGTTGTAGGTTTTTTCGGGCTATATGGCCATGTTCTAGAGGCATTTTCTCCTGACGTTTCGCCTGCATCTATGGCAAGCATCCTCAGAGGTAGTGAGGTCTGTTGGAACTAGGAAAAAGGGGTTTATATATCTGTGGAATGACCAGGGTGGGACAAAGGACTCTTGTCAGCTGGAGCTAGGTGTGAATGTTTCAGCTGACCACCTTGATTAGCATTTGATTGCCTGACAGTGCCTGGAGCAATCTTTTGTTGAGAGGTGATTAGATGTCCCAGATTGTTTTTCCTCTGTCGTTTTGCTGTGATTTTAGAGTTTTTAAATACTGGTAGCCAGATTTTGTTCATTTTCATGGTTTCCTCCTTTCTGTTGAAATTGTGCACATGCTTGTGTATATCAATGGTTTCTCTGTGTAGCCTGACATGGTGGTTGTTAGAATGGTCCAGCATTTCTGTGTTCTCAGAAGAGCTGCAAGACTGGGAACAAGCCACAAGAATAAAGATGAAGATCCACCCAGAGGAAAAGTGTTCTTGCCATACGTCAAGGGAACCACTGACCGCAGAGGGAAGCTGATGAGGAAACACAACATACAAACTATCTACAGACCCACCAAGAAAATCCAGCCAATGCTTCGTTCAGCAAAGGACAAGAGGGATCCTCTCACTTCTGCAGGAGTCTACCGTATTCCATGCAGCTGTGGACAAGTCTACATAGGGACCACCAAACGCAGCATTGCCCAGACACGCATCAAGGAACATGAAAGGCACTGCAGACTACTTCAACCAGAGAAGACAGCCATAGCAGAGCACATGAGGAACCAACCTGGACACAGCATTTTATTTGAGAACACAGAAATGCTGGACCACTCTCACAACCACCATGTCAGACTACACAGAGAAGCCATTGAAATCCACAAACATGTGGACAATTTCAACAGAAAGGAGAAACCATGAAAATGAACAAAATCTGGCTACCAGTATTAAAAAAAACTCTAAAATTACAACAGCAAAACAACAGAGAGGAAACAATCTGGGACATCTAATCACCTCTCAATAAAAGATTGCTCCAGGCACTGCCAGGCCATCAAATGCTAATCAAGGTGGTCAGTTGAAACATTCACACCTAGCTCCAGCAGACAATAGTCCTTTGTCCCACCCTGGTCATTCCAGATATATAAACCCCTTTTTCCTAGTTCCAACAGACCTCACTACTTCTGAGGATTCTTGCCATAGATGCAGGCGAAACATCAGGAGAGAATGACTCTAGAACATGGCCATACAGCCTGAAAAAACCTACAACAACCCAATATATTATATTATATTATATTATATTATATTATATTATATTATATTATATTATATTATATTGCATTGCATTGCATTGCATTGCATTATATTATAAGCACAATGCAGGAGACAAGATGGAACTGCCTTCCTGGCCCCTCTCTTCACTCTGATCTCAGAGCAGCGGTTGGTGCTGGAGGGGGGGGGCTCTCAACTGATGACACCGGAGGCAAGATGGAACTGCCTTCATGGCCCCTCTCTATGTAAATAAATAAAATAGCAATTTCAGTTCTTGTCTGGGGCATTTTGAAGACTTGCCTGCTAACTATTAACACACCTGTCCCTTACAAGAGAGGAGATTCCATCTGAACATGAGGAAGAACTTCCTGACTGTGAGAGCCGTTCAGCAGTGGAACTCTCTGCCCCGGAGTGTGGTGGAGGCTCCTTCTTTGGAAGCTTTTAAACAGGGGCTGGATGGCCATCTGTCAGGAGTGCTTTGAATGCAATTTTCCTGCTTCTTGGCAGAATGGGGTTGGACTGGATGGCCCATGAGGTCTCTTCCAACTCTTGGATTCTATGATTTTGTAATGCTTATTTCTATCTTTTCGGTTATTTGGTTTTCAGTTTTACTCATGGCATCCTCCTCAGAGGCACTCCAAAACATTACTACTAATAAAAAAAATTACAAAACAAGGGCATGATTTTTTAGGTTCTGTCCACAGCATTTTACTCAAGTAAATACATTCAAGGTGTCCCAACTATGCATTCTTCTTTTATCAGAATTCTTAGGCTTAAAACAGATCAATTAGCCTTTAATTTTCCGACCTTTTAGAACTGACTGGCTACCGATGCTGCAACCGGACTGCAAGAATTGGCTCCAGCTTCAGAAGTGTGGGAAGTGAAGCAATGGAAAATTACAAGGGAAAAGGTTTCAGGTGAACTGGATCCACATGCAAGACTGCTTCATTTAACTGACTGTAAACACAGAATTTAAACAGAATCCCCCTAAAAAGGAATGGACTACATATGAAACTTACCATCTTTACTCACTGCAGCCTTTCCAAAGAAGTTATTCAGCACGTTTACTTTTGCAGGCACCTTGCTGCTTCCTGCCGAGGCCTGGAGTAATTAAGAGAAATGGTTAGCAAAGAGAAACTGACGAACCAGAGCTCCAAATCTACTAGAGACCGCTTTAGAAAATATTTAAGTACTAGCTATACCCTGCCACTTGTTGCTGTGGCCCAGTCTGTATGTATGTTTTGTCTGTGTATATATGCATATATGTGTGTGTATATATTCGTGTATATGTATATATGTGTGTGTTTGTGTATATATGTGGATTTGTGCATGTGTTGTAATTTTTTGTTTTTTGGCTTTTTAAGTCTCTTTTGCTGTGTTTTTCAGTGTTTTTATGAGTGATGATCACTCGTTGGCCTGATAGGTGTATTGTGTCCAAATTTGGTGTCAATTTGTCCAGTGGTTTTTGAGTTATGTTAATCTCACAAACAAACATTACATTTTTATTGATATAGATGAAACACAAATAAATGTTTGTGTTTAAATATCTGATTATCAAGTTTGCAGACGACACCAAATTGGGAGGGAGAGCCAAGACTCCAAAGGACAGGAGCAGGATTCAAAACAATCTTGACAGATTAGAGTGATGGGCCAAAAATAACAAAATGAAGTTCAACAGGGACAAATGCAAGATACTCCACTTTGGCAGGAAAAACGAAATGCAAAGAGACAGAACGGGGGACAATGCCTGGCTCGAGAGCAGGACGTGTGACAAAGATCTTGGAGTCCTCGTGGACAACAAATTAAATATGAGCCAGGAATGTGATGTGGCGGCAAAAAAGCCAAGGGGATTTTGGCCTGCATCAATAGGAGCCTAGTGTATAGGTCCAGGGAAGTCATGCTACCACTCTATTCTGCTTTGGTTAGACCACACCTGGAATATTGTGTCCAATTCTGGGCACCACAATTGAAGAGATATTGGCAAGCTGTAATGTGTCCAGAGGGACTAAAATGATCAAGGGTCTGGAGAACAAGCCCTATGAGGAGCGGCTTAAGGAGCTGGGCATGTTTAGCCTGAAGAAGAGAAGGCTGGGAGGAGATATGATAGCCATGTATAAATATGTGAGAGGAAGCCACAGGGAGGAGGAGGGAGCAAGCTTGTTTTCTGCTTCCCTGGAGACTAGGACGCAATGAAACAATGGCTTCAAACTACAAGAAAGGAGATTCCATCTGAACATGAGGAGGAACTTCCTGACTGTGAGAGCCGTTCAGCAGTGGAACTCTCTGCCCCGGAGTGTGGTGGAGACTCCTTCTTTGGAAACTTTTAAACACAGGCTGGATGGCCATCTGTCAGGGGTGATTTGAATGCAATGTTCCTGTTTCTTGGCAGAATGGGGTTGGACTGGATGGCCCATGAGGTCTCTTCCAACTCTTTGATTCTATCATTCTATCTATACGTTCAAACACAATATTGCAAAATCTGAAGAAAAAAATCTGAAATCCAAAACACTTCTGGTCCTATGCCTGTCAGATAAAGGATGCTTAACCTGTATAGTGACATTTGAACAACAATAAAAAGGCAATACACAAGCACAGCCAAAGTAACAAAAAATTACCATCACTTCTCCAACACTGGCCTGGCAATTCAACCTGAAGTTGGTGCTTCTTTAAAAGAATATGCAAGACATATTCAACTTACACTTGGTGCCTCTTTCACCTCCCGTTTTGCTTCTTTCTGCGTCTCTTGGGGTTTGCTGGTGGCGGCAGACATTGATGCAAACATTCCCATGATGCCCTTGGCCTGCGGGGCAGCCTGCTTTGACGAAACCTTTGGAGCCTGGCCATTTACCACATGGGTGGCGGTGGTGCCAGCACCATTTGTCCCAGGCGGCATCTGAGCATTCGCTGGTGCTGGGGTTTCAACCTGAGCCATTTCGGCTGCAGAACGCGCAATGGCAGCAGCACAATGAATGGCACTGAACCTGGAAATCAGAATGAGAAACCAAATTAGAAACGGAAATGTTTCATTGCTGGCCTTCCATTTCCATCTCTTACAGCCGGCATGGGCAAACTTGGGCCCTCCCTCCAGATGTTTTTGTCGGGAGTCAATTTTTGACAGCATGAAGACATCACAAATTCCCTCCGTGACATCCTGACTCAAGCATCCTGTCTGCCTCAGTTTTCTCACTGTGACATTTTGAAGCCAGCAGAGGGTGCTGGAAACCTTGTATTGGAACTTGTGAAGCAACAAGCTCTAATAAGGAAACTGAGAAGAGGGGTGTGTGAAGGAGTGTGGTTAAAGCTTATTGCCACCTAATCTGTGAGAAAAGCCGGGCAACGATCAATATCGGCTTAGGAGCTATTTTATAAAGGGACTATTAATTACAGAAGGCTTTATTCATTTGATAGCGTAGCGTTTACTGTCCCTGGCTTGACTTTACTTCTTATGCAGGCTGTTTGCCTTGAGAGAAACTGTATCAGGCAAGGCTTGAGGAAAACAGTAACAAGTTTATTTTAACAGGAGTATAACATGTTTAACTGTTTCTTCACAAGAGGCACAAATCTTGATTGGTTACATTAGTAAGGTTTCATGAGTAATCTCAGGCACAGACTTCAAGAGGTTTCTATAAGCAGATGTAACTCTTCTGGACAACTGTCCTAATAAAACAAATAAGCTAAAAGGCTTATTAACAGAATTGGCTCCCAGCCAAACCTTGATTCTTAACTCAGAATCAATAACCCCCTGTAGTTTTATCACTACCGGGTCCTTTTCTGTAACCCCATTGGTCACCAATTAATTCCCTGAATCTCCACCCAGAGACTCAGTCTTCCCAGTAGCTCACCGGCTTACTGACTGACTTTCAAAACAGCTGCCCCGTGAAGAGGCAGTTGGCTCCGCCCCTGTTGCTATGGCAACTCAGCTAATGCCAAGCCACCATCTCCAACAAAACATAATCCTCCATACTTACCATCCCTAAACTACTGTTTAAATTACACATAACCAAAGAAATAAAATTTACACAGGGGGGAGGTGGGCAGAAAAGGTGTATAAAAGGAAGTGGTGGTGGGAAAAAAGTCAGTAGTGTCTTTCTTTGCTGCAGAGATACAAGCAATATATTCATTTCCAAGCAAAACTGGCTTGTGAGTGATCATTTAATATTGCTATATACAACCTACAGTCTTACATTAAGACATTTGTGGTGACCCCCATCAAATCATGCGAAGTAATTTTGGGTATGGATTGGCTCAGGAGTCTATAGGTAGGCAGCTGGCGTTGGTAGTTCAGACTAGGTCCCAATCTCAGCGAAGGGTGTCAGATGCAAACCGTGAAAAGATTTTAGAAGGTGGGTGGATGAAAGTGTTCCAAGATGGATATAAGGCTGATCTGTGGCTACCAGAGCATCAGGATGGACTAGAGGAAAAAGATGGACTGCGGTATCACAGAGAAAAGGTGTATGTTTCGGAGTCTGTTCGAATAAAGGTATTAGAGAGGTCTCATGATCATAAAACAGCTGGACACTCTGGCTATGTGAAAACCTTACAGCTGGTATCTCGTCAGTTTTGGTGGCCAAAAATCCAGAGAGATGTAAAGAGCTATGTACAAGAATGTGTCACCTGTGCAAGGGGAAAGTCCTTGATTGGAAAACCAAGAGGTTTATTACAACCAGTGGCCAGTCCTTCTAAACCCTGGAAACAGATTGCGATGGATTTTATTGTAGATCTGCCTGAGAGCAAAATCGGCTTGTGAGTGATCATTTAATACTGCTATATACAACCTACAGTCTTACAGTTTTGGACTTCAACTCCCATAATTCCTAATAGCCTATAGAATCACCTGCAAGACCTTGCAAATTCCCATAGACAACACTGCAGGTTAAGTGAAACCGCAATATGGACTGTGGACTTGAGTTACAGGGGTCTTACTATACAAAGACTGAATTTACACAAGAGTTAGAAAATTTGCAGATGCCAAACTGGAAGTGTTAGTCAAAATTGAGTGCAGATCAAGCTTCTTCCTACCAAAGGGGTGAAAAAAGTCAGTAAAGGCACAATTCCTTTACTGGAGGACAATTTGGGTCTGTGGCGCAGATGGCTGGGAATCGGCTGCATTAAGATCACTACTGATCTAAAGGTCATGAGTTCGAAGCCAGCCTGGGTTGGAGTGAGCTTCCAACCAGTTTGTGTAGCTTGCTGTTGACCTTTGCAGCCTGAAAAACACTTGCATCTGTCAAGTGGGAAGTTTAGGTACCGCTTATGCGGGGAGGCTAATTTACCGTATATACTCGCGTATAAGCCGATCCAAATATAAGCCAAGTCACTCAATTTTACCACAAAAACTGGGAAAACAGATTGATTCAAGTATAAGCCGAGGGTGAGAAATTCAGAAGCTACTGGTACATTTCAAAATGAAAATAGATACCAATAAAATTACATTAATTGAGGCATCAGTAGGTTAAATGTTTTTGAATATTTATATAAAATTGTAATTTAAGATAAGACTGCGCTAACCTTCTGCAATGTAAATGTGCTTACGTATCCTTCCAATTATAATAGACAGTAAAATAATAAATGGAATAATAATAATAGAGTGAAGTAACAAATGCAATAATAATAATAATAATGACACAGTAAAATAATAAATGTAATAATAATAAATAGAATAAAATAATAAATGAAATAATAATAATAATAATAATAATAATAATAATAATAACAGAGTAAAATAATAAATAACCTTGACTCGAGTATAAGCCGAGGGGGACCTTTTCAGCCTAAAACAAGGGTTGAAAAACTTGGGTATATACAGTAACTAATTTACGATGCCATAAAATCTCCACCAAGCATGCAAAGAATGAGGAAGTACTTCACCAGTGTCACAAACGGACGGTGAAGCGACAGCTCCCCTGGTGGCCAGAAGCTGGAATGTTAAATAGCCTCTGTGTGTCTGTCTATATATGTTGTGTGTCTGTCTCTATATGTTGTGTGTCTCTTTTATCTTGTCTGAGTTTTTAATTAGTTATCTGCCAAGGCGGGACTTACTTGCTGCAGTTCTGCAGGTTAGCTTTGATGATATCATAGTCTGTGCTGTACAGTGGGCCACTATCCTTCAAGGTGGCTTTCTGGATGCTGTAGACGTGAACACTGGCAACTGTGGACAGCTTTGACTTCATAGCTGGAAAAGAAATATAGAAGGTAGTGGGCCGCACAAACGCATTTCTAAACAGGCTTTCACTTGTATTTCTGAAACCAGCTCACCCAGACACTCATCAAGACGAGAAGGCTGAAAGGAGACATGATAGCCATGTATAAATATGTGAGAGGAAGCCACAGGGAGGAGGGAGCAAGCTTGTTTTCTGCTTCCCTGGAGACTAGGACGCGGAACAATGGCTTCAAACTACAAGAAAGGAGATTCCATCTGAACATGAGGAAGAACTTCCTGACTGTGAGAGCCGTTCAGCAGTGGAACTCTCTGCCCCGGAGTGTGGTGGAGGCTCCTTCTTTGGAAGCTTTTAAACAGAGGCTGGATGGCCATTTGTCAGGCGTGATTTGAATGCAATATTCCTGCTTCTTGGCAGGGGGTTGGACTGGATGGCCCATGAGGTCTCTTCCAACTCTTTGATTCTATGATTCTGGTGTTAAGATCTTCTAGAGGGGCCCTGCTCTCGGTCCCACCACCTTTGCAATCGCGTCTGGTGGGACGAGGGACAGGGCCTTCTCGGTGGTGGCCCCTCAGCTCTGGAACTCTTTCCCATTGGAGATTAGAACTGCCCCTTCCCTCCTGACTTTCAGAAAGCTGGTAAAATCTTGGCTTTGGAATACAGCATTTGCAGAATGATGATTGAGTCAATAACGGCTGACCACACTGGCGGATGGTGATGAATTTGTGATTTTACTTTGACGACCTGGCTTTTGTAATTGTATGATCTGTATTTTAATGTGTTTTAATGTATTAATGTACTATGATGTTATTATGCTTTAGTTTATTTGTATATTGATTCTCTGTTGTTAGCCGGTCTGAGTCCCTCTTCGGAGGTCGAGAAGACCAGGTTATAAAAGCTCTAAATAAATAAATGAATAAATAAATAAATAATACAGACAGTCCTCCACATTTGTGGGTTACTACTATGATGATGATGATTTATACCCTGCCTTTTTCCCTGCCAAAGGAGACTCAATATATCCATCTGTCATACACTAGAGCAAGAACACCTTTTATTTTATTGTATTTTACTGTATTGTAATTTGCTGTTTGGGCTTGGCCTCATTGTAAGCTGCCCTGAGTCCCCGTTGGGGGAGATGGTGGCAGGGTATAAATAAGTTTATTATTATTATTATTATTATTATTAGTTTGCTGTCTTAAGTGAATACAAAGTGCATTAACCTCTTCAAAAGCAGACATGGGCACTAAGCAATACAGAATAAGTTAAAAAGCTCTCTACCTCAAGACATTTTTTACTATGGCAAAAAAAAAAATAGAAATGCTACCTCTCCCTCAAAAGAAATGTGTAAACTGTGGCAATCACATCAAGGTGGCTTAATACAAAACAGCTTTTTCTGACGCTCCATTCACAGTGAATTTACCTTCTAGCTTTTCTTCCTTCACTACTGCAACCTTGTGGCACTGCAAAGAAATGACAACTTATTACCATAATATTTTACCATTGTTTCAATCAGCATATCAATTGTCTGATCCTTAACGATTTAAAATGTCATCAAATCTTCTAAATTTTTGTAGTTTGGCTTCAGCTAAGCAATTTAGAGATGAACCCCCCATCCCTTGTGGGAGCTCTGTCATAAAACTCTATAGAGTTGAAAGAGACCCCAAAAGCCACCCAGTCCAACCCCCTTCTGCCATGCAAGAAGATTTTTTTTTTGGTCGTGTCAGGAGCAACCTGAGAAACTGCAAGTTGCTTCTGGTGTGAGAGAATTGGCCGTCTGCAAGGATGTTGCCCAGGGGACGCCCGGATGATTTGATGTTTTATCATCCTTGTGGGAGGCTTCTCTCATGTTCCCGCATGAGGTGCTGGAGCTGATAGAGGGAGCTCATCTGCCTCTTTCCGGATTCGAACCTGCGACCTGTCGGTCTTCAGTCCTGCCGGCACAGGGGTTTAACCCACTGCGCCACCGGGTCTCTTATTTACCATATTTGTATACATGAGGGCCATGTATAAATATATGAGGAGAAGTCCTAGGGAGGAGGGAGCAAGCTTGTTTTCTGCTGCCCTGGAGACTAGGACACAATGGAACAATGGCTTCAAACTACAGGAAAGGAGATTCCACCTGAACATGAGGAAGAACTTCCTAACTGTGAGAGCTGTTCAGCAGTGGAACTCTCTGCCCTGGAGAACTTCTAACTGTTTCTTTTTTTTGTTTGTTGCAAACTGTGCCAACAAAGAGAAAAAATAGGTGTAAAGAAGCCAGAATGGATGTCCAAAGAACTTCTAACTGTGCTAAGACACAAAAGAGACATGCACAAGAAGTGGAAAAAGGGAGAAATCACCAAAGAATAATTCAAACAAATAGCCAACACCTGTAGGGAAAAGGTCCGCAAGGCTAAAGCACAAAACGAGCTCAGGCTTGCCAGAGACATTAAAAACAAGCTTGTTTACTGCTTCCATGGAGATTAGGACAAGGAACAATGGCTTCAAACTACAAGAAAGGAGATTCCATCTGAACATGAGGAAGAACTTCCTGACTGTGAGAGCCGTTCAGCAGTGGAACTCTCTGCCCTGGAGTGTGGTGGAGGCTTCCTTCTTTGGAGGCATTTAAACAGAAGCTGGATGGCCATCTGTTGGGGGTGCTTAGAATCATAGAATCAAAGAGTTGGAAGAGACCTCATGGGCCATCCAGTCCAACCCCCTGCCAAGAAGCAGGAATATTGCATTCAAATCACCCCTGACAGATGGCCATCCAGCCTCTGCTTAAAAGCTTCCAAAGAAGGAGCCTCCACCACACTCCGGGGCAGAGAGTTCCACTGCTGAACGGCTCTCACAGTCAGGAAGTTCTTCCTAATGTTCAGATGGAATCTCCTCTCTTGTAGTTTGAAGCCATTGTTCCATTGCGTCCTAGTCTCCAAGGAAGCAGAAAACAAGCTTGCTCCCTCCTCCCTGTGGCTTCCTCTCACATATTTATACATGGCTATCATATCTCCTCTCAGCCTTCTCTTCTTCAGGCTAAACATGCCCAGTTCCCTAAGCCGCTCCTCATAGGGCTGGTTCTCCAGACCCTTGGATGCAATTTTGGATGCAATTTTCCTGCTTCTTGGCAGAATGGAGTTGGACTGGATGGCCCACCAGGTCTTTTCCAACTCTAGGATTCTATGACTCCTGTGTAGATTTAATTTACTAACAAAACTTTGTAACCAGCATACCATATATTTTTTCTATCTCCCACCCTTTTTTTCCCTTCCTTTTCAACTGTGAAAATGAAATAAAAACTTTAAAAGTTCAAAAACAAAAAGGAGGTTTTGAGTGGCATTCTTTCCCAGCCTCCATGGGCAATAACAACTAAAAATACCAGGATAACAACAGAAGACAGGGGGGCGATCCTCCCTTACAGTGGATTTCTCTCAGTGAAGAATGGCCTCTCGTCTTGGTACAGCAGCTATGAGAATCATGAGGCCCATGGACCACATGTAAACCTTGGAAGAGCCTTGTGCTTTGTCCAAAATAATAATAATAATAATAATAATAATAATAATAATAATAATAAATAAAACTTTATTTGTACCCCACTACCATCTCCCCAAGAGACTCGGTGCGACTTACATGAGGCCGAGCCCACAATACAACAATACAAGCAATAACAATAACAATACATGCATTTAAAATAAATCACATAGACAATAACATAAGTATTGGCAATAATACAGAACACTTTAAAAACTATGGCTGGGCCAAATGTAATTAAAAATTTAAAATGATGCTGGTCATGGACGAGATAAGGAAGTGGGCGTAGTGGAGACATACGGACAGACCTAAATCGATATAAAGTGCTTTAGAGGACAAAGTGCTGAGGATTCATTATCCTGGGAAGGCACACTGGAACAACCACGTTTTCAAACTCCTCCTGAAGACTGCCAGAGTTGGGGCCTGCCTGATGTCCTTGGGGAGTGAGTTCCAGAGTCGAGGGGCCACTATCAAGAAGGCCCTCTCTCTCATCCCCACCAATCACACTTGCGATGCAGGTGGGAGCGCGAGCAGGGCCTCTCCAGATGATCACAGAGATCGTGTGGGTTCGTTTACAGAAATACGGTCACGTAAATAGGCATGTCCCAAACCATTCAGGGCTTTGTAGGTAAGAACCTGCACCTTGAATTGGGTCCGGAAAATAAATGGCAGCCAGTGGAGCTCCTTGAACAGGAGGGATGACCTCTCCCTGTAAGGAGCACCAGTTAGCAACCTAGCAGTTAGCAAAACCACTCTTGTATATGGAAATAGATCCCCAGTTGCCCAGTTTGCCCTCTAAACACTATTTTTTGTCATCTCAAATTCTGTTCTTGTCATCTTAGAGTATTAGAGAAGGCAAAGTGGTCCTGCAGCTGAATTGTACACTTTTAAACAGTGACTAGATGACCATCTGTTGGGGGTGCTTTGATTGTGCTTTTCCTGCATAGCAAGCGGTTGGAGTGGATGGCCTGCGGGATCTCTTCGAACTTTATGATTCTATGAGAGAAAGGTTGGGTATAAATTCAGAAAAATAAAACAATCCTATGGAGCATGTCAACTTCTGTATTACAGGAACAACAATCTTGTAACAAGGGGTTCTGAACGCCAAAAAGGAAAATTTTAGTTCAACCCAGAGAACACCAGGTTGGGAAGGACTGCCCTTGAAAAATCCAACTGCAAACTGAACCGCACTTGCAAAATACATTTTACAGAAGAGCACCCCCCTCTACTGGGGAAAGGCCATTAGTGCACGGGTCCTTGCTCATTTCATATTAATATTAGGTATCATTATGCCAAAAATAACCTTTGTACTATTTAATCTTCTAAGGTAAAAAAGATACAGTATTAATTAATGTTGTTCTACATATTTAACACCCTGAGTCGCCTGAGGGCTGAGAAGGGCGGTATACAAATATAGTAAATAAACAGTAAATAAATTCCCCACACTTCATATATTTACTATATTTACAAATATAGTAAATAAATAGTAAGTAAATTCACCACACTTCAAACTCCCTCTCCAGAACTAGATACAAAAGTGACTGGAAACACAAATTTAGTCATAGCTTTGCTTGTACTTTTTTTTTCTTTTTTTAATAGATAGCCTTTATTAAGGTTTTTTAAGGGGGATACTTTCAAACTCAGAAGGATGACTGACCAGAGAAGCCACTGATGTTCTCTCTACATTACAGGCATGGGCTAACTTGGGTCCTCCAGGTGTTTTGGACTTCAACTCCCACAATTCCTAACAGATTGTCAGGAATTGTGGGAGTTTAAGTCCAAAACACCTGGAGGAGGGCCTAAGTTTGCCCATGTCTGCTGTCCAACCTCGATGTTTTGTTTGGACAAAGCATTTATGAAATTTGGCTGTAGCATATACGTATATCTCATGAAGAGATAATCACATTCCTACATTTCACTGAAATCTCCTTTTGCTCAGTTTCTGCAATGCCAGATTCCGAATCTGCTCAATCAGGCGAAGGCTGTTCATAGCAATGTTTGCTATTGGGCCCATCATTCTGTTGACAACAATATCCTGTTATTTGTTTTCCCTTCATAATGGTTTTGGCTACAGGCACTGACCACTCTGTCTGAGGCAGATGAGGCCGGCAACTTACTGTGTGTCCGTTCTGAACGAGGTTGCCTGCTACCAAATAGGTGACGTGCAACTGGACTCCCGGACTCTCCTTCCGCTTTCTTTCCACATAGTCATACAGCATCCTGTGTATGTACAAAAGCAACGTTTAAGAAGGTGTTTTCATCACCAGCACCGAAACAAGGAACTACACCCGGGATACCTTGTTGTAACCTGGTCACTGTGTAGAACCCTTCTCTGACACAACCTTGGATGCTACAAATAGTCCTTCAAAACATCTACAAGTGACTCTTTAAATCATCAGACAAATTGGACTATTATGTTTATCTATATCAATATGGACATTTATCCATGACAAAGAGAAGTTGTTTCTCTATATTGTGTATATAAGTAGTAAACATGTCATATGACATCATATTTGAAGTTTCAACAACAATAACATAATATTTTGTGTACAAAAGCACAGTTAGTCATATCTGAGGGATATATCTCTCAAAAGCCCTCACCCAATAACTGGAAGCTCAGAAATTGTGATTTAATCCAGTTCCAACTAATGCAACTGGAACAAACGTAAGATTGAAATTTGTCTGGAGATTAATTCCTACTTCTTATAAACCACAAATGCATCCCTGTACATGATGCTGATGGTATGAGCTCAAGCAACCAAACGCTCTACCCTCACAACTTGTTTTACTTTTTGTAATCCCTCTCCAACTAAAAAAAGAATGTAGGATGCAACATCTGAGAGTGAAGATAAATCTAACTATATGCATGAAAATAATTGTGTGAAGAAGCATTCATAGAATCAAAGAGTTGGAAGAGACCTCATGGGCCATCCAGTCCAACCCCATTCTGCCAAGAAGCAGGAATATTGCATTCAAAGCACCCCTGACAGATGGCCATCCAGCCTCTGTTTAAAAGCTTCCAAAAAAGGAGCCTCCACCACACTCCAGGGCAGAGAGTTCCACTGCTGAACGGCTCTCACAGTCAGGAAGTTCTTCCTCATGTTCAGATGGAATCTCCTTTCCTGTAGTTTGAAGCCATTGTCTCCAGGAAAGCAGAAAACAAGCTTGCTCCCTCCTCCCTGTGGCTTCCTCTCACATATTTATACCTGGCTATCATGTCTCCTCTCAACCTTCTCTTCTTCAGGTTAAACATGCCCAGCTCCTTAAGCCGCTCCTCATAGGGCTTGTTCTCCAGACCCTTGATCATTTTAGTCGCCCTCCTCTGGGCACATTCCAGCTTGTCAATATCTCTCTTGAATTGTGGTGCCCAGAATTGGACACAATATTCCAGGTGTGGTCTAACCAAAGCAGAATAGAGCTGGGGAGCATGACTTCCCTAGATCTAGACACTATGCTTCTATTGATGCAGGCCAAAATCCATGCAAATCCCATTCAGTGATTTGAGTCTCCATTCATCCACAGTAGCAATTTATGGCACGGTCCAGAAATTATTTACCTTCTTACCCACTGACAGTGAGGAATAAAGACCATACTGGATATTAATAATACCCAAATAAAGAGTGCAACAATATAAACGCAATACAAACCTAAAACGAACCAGCCAATTCAGTCTTGCTACGATATCCTGGTACACCATACAGCAAGAGGCGAGGTGTAAACATCCATGTTCTACACACTTTTGGTACATAGTATTTAATAATGGTTTCTTAAAATTGTCGCTTATCAATTATTTCAAATTCTGGGAAACTTTCCCTATATCTCTTCCACTTGAAAGAAGTAACTAGCATTCAAATATAACAGCTATTTCCATTTACTCCCAAAAGTGCAGCTGTATGAGCCAAGTGCAAAGGAAAGGAGCAAAACAAACAGCAAAAGCCAAGGCCAGAAATCTATGTTTATTTGTCCAAAGCTTCAATCTTACTGCTGTATTGCTTGAACTGTGTCTGCATGCCTACCTCTCAGGGTCACCAGCTGATCCCCAACCCATCTAAAACACAGACATGTGCTTTTCATCTCAAGAACAGACAAGCATCCTGAGTTCTGAGGATTATTACCTGGGAAGGAATCCCACTGGAGCATTGCAGCGCACCCAAATACCTGGGAGTCACTCTGGACCGTGCTCTGACCTACAAGAAGCACTGCCTGAACATCAAGCAAAAAGTGGGTGCCAGAAACAATATCATATGCAAGCTGACTACCACAACCTGGGGATCACAACCAGACACCTGCCCTTGCGCTATGCTACTCTGCTGCTGAGTACGCATGCCCAGTTTGGAACACATCTCACCACAGTAGATGTGGCTCTTAATGAGACATGCCGCATTATCACGGGGTGTCTGCACCCTACACCACTGAAGAAATTACACTGTTTAGCTAGTATTGCACCACCTGACATCCGCTTGGAAGTAGCAGCCAATAGTGAAAGGAACAAGGCAGTGACATCTCCAGCTCATCCCGTTTGGGTATCAGCCAGCACACCAACACCTTAAATCAAGAAATAGTTTTCTAAGATCTACAGAGACACTCGCTGGAACACCTCAGCAAGCGAGAGTCCAAAAGTGGCAGGCTCAAACCCAGAACCTCAACCAATGGCTGATACCAAATGAGAGACTCCCCCCTGGGCACACAGAAAACTGGGAGACTTGGAAGGCGCTGAACAGACTGCGCTCTGGCACCATGAGATGCAGAGCCAACCTCAAGAAATGGGGCCACAAAGTGGAATCCACGACATGCGAGTGTGGAGAAGAGCAAACCACTGACCACCTGCTGCAATGCAACCTGAGCCCAGCCACATGCACAATGGAGGACCTCCTTGCGGAAACACCAGAGCCACTCCAAGGGGCCAGATACTGGTCAAACGACATTTAATCAACTACCAAACTCACAAATTTTGTATTTTGTCTGTTCGTTTGTTTTGTTCTGTTAGAAATGTAACAAAATTGACTGGTTGCCCTGACACGACAAATAAAGGGTCACATTTCTAGAGATGGAAACTAGTTATATAGAAAAATATTTTGTGTAATTAATTCCTTTGGACAACTGTTTGGGCAGAACAAAATTACAGTAAGAGTAAAATGTACCACAGGATATCTGCACATCTTTTGTGGTATAACTGTTTTTTGTTACTTTTAGGTATAAGGTGTGCTTTTACTTTCTTAGAAGGATTTATCTGCTTAATTTGCCATGCTGCTTTATTTTCCCTAGCTTTTTGAAACTCTGCTTTGTTTGTTTACTTCTGTTTTAACTTATTCTAACTTATCTTCTGTTCGGAAGAGTTTAGTTTGCTTATATTTGCCATTTGCAATTTGTCCTCATGCTGATTTTAAGGACAGTTAGTATACAGCCTCAATTATTACATGAGTTTACTAGTATAGTCCAGCAATTATTTTGCTGCATTCTGATTTATAAGAAGCCCTCCCACCCCCTAAAAAAAATCATTCTGAAGTAAGAATAAAGAGTTCTAGGTTTAATTTATAACAGGTATGTGGGTGTGCAGATTATTAACATTAACAAATTATTACTTAAAATAACTATTTACATTTTCAGCCTCCCACATATTAGAATGGCAAATCACTGGACATTTCATTTAAGTGAGGCATATTGCTGTGTGCCATCGAATCCTTTCCAATGTATAGCAATCACAAGGAGCATCAATCTGTTGTAGTTCAGTGTGATGGTAATGTTACTACTCCTGGTAGAAGGGAGAAGAGGTCTACGCAGGAGTTAAGAGGAGGAACAGCAGCGAAAGCGCATTAGGGAGATAATTATGGCCCCAAGTGATTCGGAGACGTTTGAGGGCTTCTCTGATTGTGAAATGGGGGATGGGGAGGAGAGCAGGGGAGTGAAGAGGGCTACTCGCGATCCAGAGTCCGACGATGAGCTGCAGAGGAAGCGCATCCGGGAAATACTTAGCGCTCCTACATAGGATGAGGATTTCATGGAGTTTGAAAGGAGTGATGGGTCTGGGAGTGATATGGGAGAGGAGGATGAGCTGGATTGGACCCGTGTTCAACAGATTAGGGACATTTGTAACCAACCCACCTCCAGTGATGAATTTGAGAGGTTCACAGGGGATTGGCAACCGGGGAACACTTGGCAAGATCTAAGTCTTGACAGACGCTGGCAGAGGTGGAGAGATGGGCGCTCAGGTTCAGCTGCGGGGATGTCGGCAGCTGAGAGCAATGAGGAAAGGGTGGGGAGCTCAACATCCTCTGATGAGGAGCTCTAGGATAAAAGTGGGTTCTGTTTGAATGATACTTTGCAGAAGGCAAAGTGTCTTTATGGGACATAAATCTTTGTTACTGCCAACTCTCGAGCTTGGCTCCTTGGACTACAGATTCCTGTCTTCCTGTGTTCCTGCGATTCCTGCGTTCCAGTGTTTACATTATTCAGCAGCTTGACCACAGACCGGTTTGACTATCGCTTTTGGCTTCTGGACTTAAAACATTGCTAACTTCGTGTTTGAACTTTGCATCGTTTTGGGACTCCGTTTTCCATCTTCTGTGACTGTGTTTTTGAACTGTGTGAACTTTGTGTTTAACCCGGATTAAACAGCGTTATAATCCGGGTTATATTTTTGTTGCTGGTATCGCTTTGTTTTTGATGCCAAATTACTGGTCGGACTCTCTGCACTGAAGTTAAGTGCTTTAAAAGACTATTTTTGCATAATAAAGCTGTGCTTGAACTCTTTATCTTGTGTTTGGCTCTACTTAAGGCTTCTGGGTCTTGACACAATAATGCGGCTTTCTTAATAATATTTGTTCAGAGAGGATTTGACTTTATTATTGTTGTTATTATGTTTATTTATACCCTGCTTTTCTCTCTACAAAGAGACTCAACATGGTTTACATTAAAAACGTTTTGATATAATTTAAAATATACAAACATACAAACATTAAAACAGACTTTGCCTTTCTCTGAGACTGAGGGCCCTTCCAGACAGGCCCTATATCCCAGGATTTGATCTCAGGTTTTCTGTTTATCCCAGATTATCTGGCAGTGTAGACTCACATAATCCAGTTTGAAGAAGAAAACCTAGGATCAGATCATGGGATATAGGGCTTGTCGGGAAGGGCCCTGAGAGGAACTTCTCCAAAGTCCGCCAACGGATTTGATTTATTTGTTTATCATGTCAGGAGCAAACCAAAACAGTTGTATTGCATTTTTTTAACAAACAAACAAAACACAAAGTTTGCAAGCTTGGTAGTTGATTAAATGTCCTTTGACCAGTAGCTGGCCACTTGGAGTGCCTCTGGTGTTGCCGCAAGAAGGTCCTCCATTGTGCATGTGGCAGGGCTCAGGTTGCATTGCAGCAGGTGGTCAGTGGTTTGCTCTTCTCCACACTCGCATGTCATGGATTCCATTTTGTGGCCCCATTTCTGAAGGCTGGCTCTGCATCTCGTGGTGCCAGTCTGTTCAGCGCCTTCCAAGTCGCCCAGTCCTCTGTGTGCCCGGAGGGAGTCTCTCATTTGGTATCAGCCATTGGTTGAGGTTCTGGGTTTGAGCCTGCCACTTTTGGACTCTCGCTTGCTGTGGTGTTTCACCGAGTGTCTCTGTAGATCTTAGAAAACTATTTCTTGATTTGAGTCATTGGCGTGCTGGTTGATACCCAAACAGAGGATGGGCCGGAGATGTCCCTGCCTTGGTCCTTTCACTCTTGGTTGCTACTTCCCGGCGGATGTCAGGTGGTGCAATACCGCCTAAACAGTGTAATTTCTCCAGTGGTGTGGGGTGCAGACAACCCGTGATAATGCGGTATGTCTCATTAAGAGATGATTTGATGGATTTGATGCATTCTTTGGCATAGAAGGATAAGGAACTTTGTAAAACTACAACTCTCAAGGTTGTGAAGTCAAACTGTATTAGTTCTACACTGTAGATGCACCCAAACAGCAACACGCTTGAACAAGAAAAAGACCTTGTTTCACAAGTCTTCTAGCTAGTCTCTTTCAAAAGGACTGAACTCTTAAGATTGGGAGATTTTCTTTCCTTCTTCATGTAAAGCTACCATTTCAGACTCATATAAATCATCTTAGGCCTTCATTCATGTTCAGTTTTTGGCATTCAGCCAAGAGCCATGTGCAAATCCAGCACACAGAACATCCAGACCCAGAGTGGGAGGTATAGGCCAAGGCCAAAACAGGTGGTTTAAACATTACAAAATGAAGATTAGAAATTTTAACTGGATTTTGAAGAGATGAGAAAAGAAAAGCAGCATCTGAACTTCTTAAAAGTTCATTTAAATAAGAGCTTCATTGATCAAAGGATAGTAGATTCTTGATAAAAGTGTTACAGAGAAAGATCAAAGTTACATGGATCTCTGAATAATTCCCATAATAATTATGCTTGGCTATGGCTGATCTTGAGGGTCACATGAGTCCCACTATTGCCCTAGTCAGTAATTCTTTTAATTCTATTGACAGTGATTTAGTGCGATGATAAAAATTTAGGCATTTATTCTTTTCCCAGCCTCTGAGGTCTGAACTTGATACCTATACTTTGGTTGTTGAGGATAAGATACAAGATATAGTAATACTTACTGCTTAGCTTGGTTGACATGAACACCCAAGGTGTAGCTGAGCCATTTGTAGGTCACCTGTAACGGGAAACACAACAGTCTTAACATACAACAAATACTAAATCCAACCTTTGTAGAAGTGCCAAACATAACAACACAATGGCAAATGATGCTCATAATATCCTCATGTTGTGTGCCTTCAAGTCATTTCGAGCTTAAGGTGTCCTTATGGCAGGCATAGGCAAACTTTTATTTAGACAGATATTTATTCCAAGAAACCTCGAGAAACACTTAGTTTGGACAGACCATCAAACCTACAACAACCCTGTAACCCTATGCTCTGTTTGGCCTTGCGACTGACCAGGAGGACCTCTGTCTTGTCTATAATATAATAGTAATAATACATTGTAATACTAATAATAGATACATAGGGTCGTTGTAGGTTTTTTCGGGCTATATGGCCATGGTCTAGAGGCATTTCTCCTGACGTTTCGCCTGCATCTGTGGCAAGCATCCTCAGAGGTAGTGAGGTCTGTTGGAACTAGGAAAATGGGTTTATATATCTGTGGAATGACCAGGGTGGGTCAAAGGACTCTTGTCTGCTGGAGCTGGGTGTGAATGTTTCAACTGACCACCTTGATTAGCATTTGATGGTCTGACAGTGCCTAGAGCGTTTAGACTACTGCAATGCTCTCTACGTGGGGTTGCCTTTGAAGACTGCTCGGAAGCTTCAACTGGTTCAACGTTCAGCAGCCATGATACTAACAGGAGCGGCACTCAGGGAGCATACAACTTCTCTGCTGCGCCAGCTCCACTGGCTACCAATTTGCTACCGGGCACAATTCAAAGTGCTGGCGTTGGCCTATAAAGCCCTAAATGGTTCCGGCTCAAGTTACCTATCCGAACGCATCTCCGCCTACGAACCACTTTAAGATCTTCTGGGGAGGCCCTGCTCTTGATCCCGCCTGCAACTCAGGCAGGCTGGCGGGGCCAAGGGACAGGGCCTTCTCAGTGGTGGCCCCTCGGCTGTGGAACGCCCTTCCCAAAGACATCAGATCGGCTCCCCCATTAATGGCATTTCGGAAGAAAGTGAAAACCTGGTTATTTGAACAGGCATTTGAATAGGCAGTGCGATGAATTTATTTATTATTTATTTACTTCACTTGTATACCGCCATTCTCAGCCCTAAGGCGACTCATAGCGGTTTACAACAGTCGAGCACAAACAAAGCGAACAATCAATGCAAAAATTCAATGCGGTATCAACAGGTAATTAAAAACAGTTAACACAGAAACAAGTTAAGCAATTAACAATAATAGACAATCAATCAATTGGCGTCTCATAACTAGAATCATGATCCAAACTCGTCAGTCGTAGTTCCATTTCCTAAAATTCATTGCACTTTTTATTCAAACGCCTGTTCGAATAACCAAGTCTTCATTCTTCTCCGGAATACCATCAATGAGGGAGCCAATCTGATGTCCGTGGGCAGGGCGTTTCACAGCCGAGGGGCCACCACCGAGAAGGCCCTATCTCAACACTTATAATGAATTATAGGAAACCGGAACAACGGATGACGAGCTTGGATTATGATTTTAGTTATGAGACGCTAATGAGTTGTTTATTGATGTTATTGATGTTAATTGCTTAGTGTATTATTGTGCTAATTGTTTTTAAATGGTTTGTGTGATGTTAGCATTGAATTGTTGCTGCTGTTTGTTGTTAACCGCTCTGAGTTGCCTAAGGGCTGAGAAGAGTGGTATACAAATAAAGTAAGTAAATAAATAAATAGATAGAGCAAACTTTTGTTGAGAAGTGATTGAGAACCACTGGTCTAAAGGCTGTTATTGAAAGGCAGCTCAGGACACCTAATTACTCTACTTACAGCTCTAAGCTGTTTTTGAACTGCTTAGGTAAACAGTGAGCTGGGCTGACAGTTGGGTGCTCATTCCAACCTGGGCTTCGAACTGGCAATCTTTTGGTTGGTAAATCTTATTGCTGATGGTGGTGATTTACAGCTGTGCTGTAGCCAGGCCAGAAGCATTCCCTCCTGACATTTCTCCCATAACTATGGCAGGAATCCTCAGAGGTTGTAAGGTCTTTATATTGTCAAAGGCTTTCATGACCGGAATCACTGGGTTGTTGTAGGTTTTTTCGGGCTATATGGCCATGTTCTAGAGGCATTCTCTCCTGACGTTTCGCCTGCATCTATGGCAAGCATCCTCAGAGGTAGTGAGGTCTGTTGGAACTAGGAAAAGGAGTTTATATATCATAGAATCAGTAATAGAATCAAAGAGTTGGAAGAGACCTCATGGGCCATCCAGTCCAACCCCATTCTGCCAAGAAGCAGGAATACTGCATTCAAAGCACCCCCGACAGATGGCCATCAGCCTCTGTTTAAAAGCTTTCAAAGAAGGAGTCTCCACCACACTCTGGGGCAGAGAGTTCCACTGCTGAACGGCTCTCACAGTCAGGAAGTTCTTCCTCATGTTCAGATGGAATCTCCTCTCTTGTAGTTTGAAACCATTGTTCCATTGCGTCCTAGTCTCCACGGAAGCAGAAAACAAGCTTGCTCCCTCCTCCCTGTGACTTCCTCTCATATATTTATACATGGCTATCATATCTCCTCTCATCCTTCTCTTCTTCAAGTTAAACATGCCCAGCTCCTTAAGCCGCTCCTCATAGGCTTGTTCTCCAGACCCTGGATCATTTGAGTCGCCCTCCTCTGGACACATTCCAGCTTAGAGTCAATATCTCTCTTGAATTGTGGTGCCCAGAATTGGACACAATATTCCAGGTAAAGTGGTCTAACCAAAGCGGAATAGAGCATGGGGAGCATCTGTGGAATGACCAGGGTGAGACAAAGAACTCTTGTCTGCTGGAACTAGGTGTGAATGTTTCAACTGATCACTTTGATGAGCATTTGATGGCCTGGCAGTGCCTGGGGCAATCTTTTGTTGAGAGGTGATTAAATGTCCTTGATACATAATCGCTTTGGGTCTCTTTTGTAGAGAGAAAAAGCTGGGTATAAATAAACATAATAATCCCTCAGTTCTTGTGGGTTTTTTCGGGCTATATGGCCACTTTCACCATTTGGAGCCATGGAGAAGAAGAACTCAACAGGTTCCTGGACCATCTGAACTGCATCCACCCAAACACCCAATTCACCATGGAAAAAGAAAATGAAGGAAGACTGCCTTTTCTAGATGTCCTAGTCATCCGCAAACCAGATCAACAATTGGGTCACACCGTCTACAGAAAACCCACACACACAGATAGATATCTACATCAAAACTCCAACCATCACCCAAGTCAAAAAAGAAGCACCATTAAAGCCTTGGCAGACCGTGCAAAAAGAATCTGCGAACCCCACCTCCTCCAAGATGAACTGAACCCCCTCAACTGGGCTCTCCAGGCCAATGGAGACTCCACCTCAGACATCAGAAGAGCTGCAAGACAACCGAGAAGAAGCCACGAGAGTCAAGATGAAGATCCACCCAGAGGAAAAGTGTTCCTGCCATACATCAAGGGAACCACTGACCGCAGAGGGAAGCTGATGAGGAAACACAACATACAAACTATCTACAAACCCACCAAGAAAATCCAACAAATGCTCCGTTCAGCAAAGGACAAGAGGGATCCTCTCACCTCTGCAGGAGTCTACCATATACCATGCAGCTGTGGACAAGTCTACATAGGGACCACCAAACGCAGCAGCATTGCCCAGACACGAATCAAGGAACATGAAAGGCACTGCAGACTACTTCAACCAGAGAAGTCAGCCATAGCAGAGCACCTGAGGAACCAACCTGGACACAGCATATTATTTGAGAACACAGAAATGCTGGACCACTCTCACAACCACCATGTCAGGCTACACAGAGAAGCCATTGAAATCCACAAAAATGTGGACAATTTCAACAGAAAGGAAGAAACCATGAAAATGAACAAAATCTGGCTACCAGTATTAAAAAATTCTAAATTGCAACAGCAAAACAGCAGAGAGAAAAACAGGCAGGGACATCTAATCACCTTTCAAGAAGAGTTTGCTCCAGGCACAGTCAGCCCATTGTATGCTAATCAAGGTGGTCAGTTGAAAGATCCACACCTAGCCCAACTTACAAAAGCCCTTTGTCTCACCCTGGTCATTCCACAGATATATAAACCCATTTTCCTAGTTCCAACAGACCTCACTACCTCTGAGGATGCTTGCCATAGATGCAGGCGAAACGTCAGGAGAGAATGCCTCTAGAACATGGCCATATAGCCCGAAAAAACCCACAAGAACTGAGTGATTCCAGCCATGAAAGCCTTCGACAATACATTAAACATAATAATAATAATAATAATAATAATAATAATAATATATTCTGATACTAATAATAGGGGAATGTTCCCCCTTCTTTTTTGTTTTGGGACTACAACTCCCAGCACCCGCAACCAGCTCTTTAGTTCATCATGGTGCTGCTCGTCCAAAGCTAGGCCTTGCTTGGAGGGCATGTCTGTGTGTGGAGGGGATGCTGGGAGTTGTAGTCCAACCCCTCCCCCTCCTTCCTCGGTCCCCCAAAACTCACGACGCGGTTCTGGTCCGTGACGAACTCGTCGATGTTCTCCAGGTACAGCTCGTCCTCCATGATGCCTGCCTGCCTTCTTCCTCTTCCTCCTCCTTCCTTCCTTTTCACCTTCGCGCGCAGAAAACTCCCGCCGCTTGGCTAGGCCGCCTCTCCATGGCAACGACGGCGGCCGCGAGGGGACACGCCGGAAAAAGTGCTTTCAGCGCGCGCGCACACGCAGGCACGCCTCCGACGGTAGCCCCCGAGGGACTTTTTTCCGCCCTGAAGGCAAAAAGCGAAATCCAATCTGGAAACGCTGCAGAAGAGCGCAGCGCCTCTACTGGCGGAGTTGTAGTAGTGCACCCCATAATTAAAAATGGGAGGGTTGTTGCAGGTTTTTTTGGGCTATATGGCCATGTTCTGCAGGCAATTTTTCTCCCATCTATGGCAAGCATCCTCAGAGGTAGTGAGGTCTGTTGGAACGAGGAAAAGGGGTTTATATATCTGTGGGATGACCAGGGTGGGACAAAGAACTCTTGTCTGTTGGAGCTAGGTGTGAATGTTTCAACTGACCACCTTGATTAGCATTTGATAGCCTGGCAGTGCCTGGGGCAATCTTTTGTTGAGAGGTGATTAGATGTCCCTTGATTGTTTCCTCTCTGTTGTTTTGCTGTTGTAATTTTAGAGTTTTTTTTAATACTGGTAGCCAGATTTTGTTCATTTTCATGGCTTCCCGCCCTCAAATGCTAATCAAGGTGGTCAGTTGAAACATTCACACCTAGCTCCAGGTGTGGAGAGTGTCTGGTCAGTTGGAACTAAGACAAAGGGTTTATATATCTGTGGAATAATGACCAGGGTGGGACAAAGGACTCTTGTCTTCTGGAGCTAGGTGTGAATGTTTCTTTGTTGTTCATTCGTTCAGTCGTCTCCGACTCTTCGTGACCTCATGGACCAGCCCACGCCAGAGCTCCCTGTCAGCCATCACCACCCCCAGCTCCTTCAAGGTCAATCCAGTCACTTCAAGGATCCCATCCATCCCTCTTGCCCTTGGTCGGCCCCTCTGTTGCGTCTCAGAATAAGATTCACCTTGCTCTCCACAACAAACCAGCCACAGTTGTGAGGTATATAGTTTATTGTGAGGTTTCTAAAACAATATGCAGTTCATAAGCAGTGAAAGGATCAATAGTCCAGGTTATAATCCAATATAATCCATATTGCCAAAGCAGGAGACTTGAAGCACAGGTTCAGTGTAAAGTCCATGAAATAGCATGAAGCAGCCTTCCCCAAGGCCAGGAGCCGGAGCTAGCCATAAAGCAACGTTGGAACTGACAACGAGAAATCTCCAGAGCAGAGCATATATTCACTAAACATCAAAACAAGCAGCTTTCCCACCCAACTGATGATCTCAACACTTGGCCACAATCCGTGGGCTCCGTCTCAACACCTGGGCACCTTGACCCTGGTTCCCAGCGTCTGTCTTATCATCTGCATTCCTTTCCTGTGAGAACTGCAGCCTCTCTACAGATACAGGCTGTGACTGAGAAAACTGAAAGCCAACATCATCAGCTGCACTCTCACTCTCATCCCCATCATGCTGTTGTTGTTGAACCACAACACCCTCTTCCTTTTACCTTCTACTTTCCCCAGCATAATTGTCTTCTCTAGGCATTGCTGTCTCCTCATAATGTGGCCAAAGTACTTCAAAAACCACAACAGCAAAACAACAAAGAGTAAACAATCAGGCACGTCATATCACTCTCAACAAAAGATTCCCCCCAGGCACTTCCAAGCCATTAAATGCTAATCAAAGTGGTCAGTTGAAACATTTATTTATGACTGGATGGCTGTTTGTCAGGAGGGCTCTGATTACATTTTCTTGCCCTGGTGAAGAGAGTTGGACTGGATGGCCTTAAGTATTTTCTGTTGATAATGAGGGTTCTGTGTGGGAAGTTTGTCCCATTTCTGTCGTTTGTGGGTTTCAGAATGCTCTTTAATTGTAGGTAAAGGTAGAGGTAGTCCCCTGACATTAAGTCCAGTCATGTCTGACTCTGGGGTGTGGTGCTCATCTCCATTTCTAAGCCGAAGAGCCAGCGTTGTCCGTAGACACCTCCAAGGTCATGTGGCCGGCATGACTGCATGGAGCGCCGTTACCTTCCCGCCGGAGCTGTACCTATTGATCTACTCACATTTGCATGTTTTCGAACTGCTAGGTTGGCAGAAGCTAGGGCTGACAGCGGAAGCTCACGCCGCTCCCCGGAATCGAACCTGCGACCTTTCGATCAACAAGCTCAGCAGCTCAGTGCTTTAAACCACTGCACCACCGGGGGGTCCTTATAATAGTAGTAGTAATATAATAATAATAATAATAATAATAATCTATTCCCAAACTCCACCAGTGTTCACATTTGGGCATATGGAATATTGGCCAAGTTTGGTCCAGATCCATCATTGTTTGAGTCCACAATGCTCTCTGGATGTAGGTGAACTACAACTCCCAAACTCAAGGTCAATGCCCACCAAACCCTTCCAGTGTGTTCTGTTGGTCATGGAAGTCCTGTATGCCGTGTTTGGTTGAATTCCATCATTGGTGGAGTTCAGAATGCTCTTTGATTGTAGGTGAACTATAAATCCCAGCAACTACAACTCCCAAATGCCAAGATCTATTTTCCCCAACCTCCACCAGTGTTCACATTTGGGCATATTGAGTATTGTGCCAAGTTTGGTCCAGATCCATCATTGTTTGAGTCCACAGTGCTCTCTGGATGTGGGTGAACTATAATTCCCAAACTCAAGGTCAATGTCCACCAAACCCTTCCAGTTTTTTCTGTTGGTCATGGGAGCCCTGTGTGCTAAGTTTGACCCAATTCTATCATTGGTGGAGTTCAGAATGCTCTTTGATTGTAGGTAAACTATAAATCCCAGCAACGACAATTCCCAAATGACAAAATCAATTTTTTTTAGTGGAGGACATAAATTGGACTGTTATTGTGTCCAAATTTGGTGTCAATTCCCCCAGTGGTTTTTGAGTTCTGATGGTAGCACGAACTAACATTACATTTTTATTTATATAGAATCATAGAATCAAAGAGTTGGAAGAGACCTCCTGGGCCATCCAGTCCAACCCCATTCTGCCAAGAAGCAGGAATATTGCATTCAAAGCAACCCTGACAGATGGCCATCCAGCCTCTGTTTAAAAGCTTCCAAAGAAGGAGCCTCCACCACACTCCGGGGCAGAGAGTTCCACTGCTGAACGGCTCTCACAGTCAGGAAGTGGGAATAATGTGGACTCATAGTGCTATGATTGTGTACAGTACAAAAGGACCTTGGCATAGCTGAAGTGCTATGGCTAATGATAAAGGTGTGAGTATTCATCAGCTTACTCAGAGCAAGAGGACAAGAAAATATTTTTTATTTTATTAATTGATGGAACAACGCTGACATGATTTCTTCTCCTCGTTTTTCAGTGGATTAAACAGATTCCTCTGGATTCTCTCCACCACAGTCACTGAAATAATTATTTCATTGCACCCGCGATGTACAGCAGCTACAAGTGGGAAAAAGAAATGGTTAGTTCAATTGATATCCAGGCTGAATATCTCTTATCCAAAATGTCTGAAAACAGAAATTAGATTTGGGATGTTAAATTTTTGGGGGAAAATACTTTATTTAAATATATGTACATAATGAGATTGGAGATGGGAATACAGCCTGAATATTGACAACAAACAATGGCTCGGAATATTTGGGGTCTCCAACGGCTGAATGGCCCTCTGCCAGGAAGGCTTAGAATGGTATCTAGGAGTTGCATGTGACGTCTTGATAGAGGAGCTGGGCATGTTTAGCCTGAAGAAGAGAAGGCTGAGAGGAGATATGATAGCCATGTATAAATATGTGAGAGGAAGCCACAGGGAGGAGGGAGCAAACTTGTTTTCTGCTTCCTTGGAGACTAGGACGCAGGAACAATGGCTTCAAACTACAAGAGAGGAGATTCCATCTGAACATGAGGAAGAACTTCCTGACTGTGAGAGCCGTTCAGCAGTGGAACTCTCTGCCCCGGAGTGTGGTGGAGGCTCCTTCTTTGGAAGCTTTTAAACAGAGGCTGGATGGCCATCTGTCAGGGGTGCTTTGAATGCAATATTCCTGCTTCTTGGCAGAATGGGGTTGGACTGGATGGCCCAGGAGGTCTCTTCCAACTCTTTGATTCTATGACTCTAAGAAGGCTTCAAGGGTCTCTGAGTGAAAGTAAGTAAGGGGCTTTGAATGAAATTTAACAGCAAAAGAGAGACATACCCTTTCTCTGACTTAAAAAGAGCAATACGGAAGAAAATGTTTTTAAGTACAAGAGGGAACTTTCTTACACAGGATGCTTGTGGTTAACTTCAAAGGTTGTTTTTTGAAGCGCAGAGTCTGCATGTACAAGAAGGTACTTTCCATCAAAAGGTCAAGAGAGGGGGCTGGAAAGAGAGTACTTTCCATGACAAAAAATGTTCTTGTTTACTTGAGGTTATATATTTGGTGGTCAAAAGCCAAGGGGCACGGCAGTCACTTGAAGGGTAACTTCTGCGCATGTTGCCTGGCTGTCCGTCTTCTTCTTTTTATCTTTCATTGGGACTGTCTCCTTCCTTTCGTGCTCCCGTGACGTGGACCTAAAAAGACCCAATTTAGGGTCTCTAACACCATATAGCAGGCTTGGGAGGACAATAGCTTTATAAACAAGCACCTTGGTATCCCTACGGATGTCCCGGTCCTCAAACACTCTCTGTTTCATTCGGAAAAATGCTGCACTCGCAGAGCTCAGGCGGTGTTGAATTTCGGTGTCGATGTTGACTTTTGGTGGAGAGGTGGCTGCCAAGGTAGCGGAAATGGTCAACATTTTTTAATGTTACACCATTAAGCTGTATTTCTGGCATTGGCCTGTGAGCGCCCCAGCTGGAGGTCAGCTGTGACCAGCAGTGCTGCAGAATTTGAAGAGGGCAAAAGAGAGAAACGTGCCAAGAGGAAGGCGCGTCAAGCCAACCCCGACCAGGATTGCCTTCCACCTGGAAACCGATCAAGAATAGGGCTCCATAGTCACCTACGGACCCAA